CAACGAGGTCGGCCGCAGCAGCAGAGGCAACAGAGGGCAAAAGGGGGGAGGGGGAACACCCCTCAAAGATGGGGGTGCGAGGGTCACCACGAGAGGCTCCTACAGCGACTATGCTCTTCTCTGCTGCTAGGAGGGACTTCTCGAGGAGGTCAACGGTGAGAGTGGTGGGGCAAACTGAGAGGAAGTGGTCCCTGACTACGCGAAGGGAGTCAGGGAGCCGGGTGACTATGTAGTAGAGGGTGATGTACATGGGGGGGGGGGTTCTTGGCGCAGAACTCAGCAGGAAGCGCAGCGCGGTAGCGAGTGTCACTAGTGCGGAGGTGCGTAATGAGGTCAGCGACTGTGGGAAAGGCAGCAAGGTCAGGGAAGAGGTACGGTAGCATGAGGCGGCTCAGTGCAGCAGTGGCAGGGGAGGAGTAGCGCGCAACTACAGCGTCGTACAAGGTCTGAGCACTCTTGTACTGGCTAAAGTGCGCACGCTTAGAGGTAGGCAGGTGGCGACGCACAGCAAGACGTGCAGCAGCATCGCGCGTGGCCCACTGTGAGCGAACAGTGGCGTCAGCATCAGCAGCGGGGGCAGGAGAGGCACCAGAAGTGAGGTCAAAGAGGGAGAGGCCGTCTGCCCTGTCGCACTGTAAGAAAAGCTGCAGGTCATCTATCCAGACATCAAAGTCAATGGCCCGACCCTCAGCGTCAAAAACGAGGACACTAGGGGTAGCCATGACAGTAGTAGACTAGCAGCGCAAACAGAAGGGTGAGGGCAGTGCTGTGAAAGGGGCGCTGCTCTTACCGGACAGGGCGGCTCGGGTGGCTCGGCTGCAGGGCGGCTCGGCGGCTCGGCTGCTGGGCGGCTCGGCGGCTCGGCGGCTCGGTTGCTGGGCGGCTCGGCGGCTCGGCTGCTGGGCGGCTCGGTGGCTCGGCTGCTGGGCGGCTCGGCTGCTGGGCGGTTCGGCGGCTGGGCGGCTCGGCTGCTGGGCGGCTCGGCGGCTCGGCGGCTCGGCGGCTCGGCCGTTCGGCTGCGACTGCTGCTGCAGAGACGGCGGCGGCTGCTGCCTCAGGGACGGCAGCGGCCGGCCGCTAGGGGCCGCGTCAGGTGCAGGAGAGGGCCGCGTCAGGGGCGGCGTAGGGGCCGCGGCAGGGGCGGCGAAGGGGCCGCGTCAGGGGCCGCGTCAGGGGCCGCGGCAGGGGCCGCGTCAGGGGCCGCGTCAGGGGCCGCGTCAGGGGCCGCGTCAGGGGCGGCGTAGGGGCCGCGTCAGGGGCCGCGTCAGGGGCCTCGTCAGGGGCCGCGGCAGGGGCCGCGTCAGGGGCCGCGTCAGGGGCGGCGTCAGGGGCGGCGTAGGGGCCGCGGTAGTGGCGGCGGAGGGGCCGCGTCAGGGGCCGCGTCAGGGGCCGCCTCAGGGGCAGCGTAGGGGCCGCGTAGGGGCCGCGTCAGGGGCCGCGGCAGGGGCCGCGTCAGGGGCTGCGTAGGGGCCGCGTCAGGGGCCGCGTTGGGGCCGCTTCAGGGGCCGCGTTGGGGCCGCGTCAGGGGCCGCGTAGGGGCCACGTCAGGGGCCGCGTTGGGGCCGCGTCAGAGGCCGCGTAGGGGCCGCGTCAGGGGCGACGTAGGGGCCGGGTAGGGGCCGCGTAGGGGCCGCGTAGGGGCCGCGTAGGGGTCGCGTAGGGGCCGCTAGGGGGGGGCCGCTAAAAAAAAATTTAGGGCAGGGGCGCAATGCGCGTCGGGCAGCTAAAAAAAAAATTTCGTTATGGTGGGCCCTTAGGAAGGAACGGTCCCATGTAGGAACCCGCTCTATACCATGTGAATTAAGAAAACAGGAATGAAATGACTAAGTGAAAGTTGTGTACAAAAAGCAAACCCTAGAAAACTGTACCCCATATGTGCTACCCCACTATAGCCTACAGTAGCTATGTCATATAAATCTGACAAGTGTCGCAATTTCGAGCGCCGATTCTTCGACTTGGCGCACGAGACGGTTGAGTTGCTCCTGCATCAGTGTCGCGAGAGTGAATTCAGCCATGGCGGGGGTGTCGGGCAAGCTCAGCGAGAGCCTCTGTCGTGGCCGTGCGTGCTTACGAGAGAGCACTACGAGCGGCGGTGTTGTTTCACTGAGAGACGTCTACCCCCCCCAAAAAATTGAGATAGTGGGGAAGCGAAGGTGTGGGTGCGGTCCGAGAAGAGATCGTAGGCTCTGATACCAAGTGTTACGAGTGCAATTGAGTGAGCGAGCGAGAATTGCACTATTGAAGCAAAATTACAATGAGCGAATGCATGAGCGAAGAATATATAGCGAAACTACAGTGGTAACAGTAATGCGTGAAAATGGGGTGCGCGACGGGCCTGGCGCCGAGGTTGGGAAATGCCGAGGCGGAGGTCCGGAGCGCGGGTTGCCAACCGAATCGTGAGGTTGGGTCGTGTCGTGAACAGTGGCGGGAACAGTGTCGAGGCGAATATCGCGAGTGGTAACGGTTTACTGTTGGGTGCTGTTGGCGGGAACAGTAGTGTACGCGCTGAGCATGGACGCGAAGTAAGGAAAAGGATTTTTCCTTACACTTCGTAAGATAGTACAAAAGGTCCTATTATAGTCCCATTTTTTTCCGTGGCGAAGTTAGGCGAGGAGCGAAACCATGGGCTCTCTACATACCCTTTCGAGCAATATGGTTTATGCGCGTCTAATGGGCATCCTGTGTACACCTAACCACCGCCTATTTTCTTTCGGTCTATTTTCAACCCCACTTGCACAAGTGGGGTATGTACCCTTTCTAAATCTTTGACCGAGGGTTGTGTGGGGCATCATTAAAATTTTGCGAGAGTCTGTTCCAGATCCCCGAAGAGAGTTCTGTACAAGTGGCGCTATGGATTCAGATTCGCATAATGAGTTTAAACTTCGAGCATTAGGCGTCATTCATAGCCCCAGTCATCTAAGTGTCGAACTGAAATAGTCGAAAACGTGCAGGGTAACTTTGAAACGCGAGATTAGTGGGTTGGGTTTCCCCTTGAAAATAGCGGTGGTTAGGTGTATCTGGTTGGAATTAGTTGGGCTGGAGTTGAGGCGGTTGAAGCACACGTGTATTTTGTGGTGTGGTGATGCGACCAGCCTGGCAGAGAAGGGAGGTCGCACTGCCGCGCATGCATCGTCATTCGTCACTCGAACGTCAATCTTTCCGACAACTGCAAACATTTGCTACAGTGTGTCTGGGCAGCTTCTTCGACTCAGCTCACAGAATCTTCGTCTGATCCTGGGCCCGCTTGGCTACGCGCATTGGATGGTTATACACCTAGTCCGCGGTATTTTAACCGCCGCTATCTTAACCACGCGAGGGTACTTCTCCTTTATCAAACTTATTTAGTCGGGTTGTTTCAAACTTTACGAGGGTAGAATCTAGCATTCCCTTCGCGAGATGACGGCAGAAAAAACTCAGTGAATGTCGAGTGTGACAAATGTCACTCCGTCTATCTTGGAGCACTAAGTGTGAGCTCCTTAGATGGAAGTGCTTTTGGCTGCAGAATCGTAGCCTCGATGACTCTGGGTGCTAATATCATTACCCAGAAACGAACAAGGGGGGTTTGAAAGAACAAAGTTCACCTGGTTAAAATACCGCGGACTAGGTGTAGTTAGAGCCGATCAAAGGTGTGGCCTGCGTCTTGCCACGATGGATTGGAAAAGGACGGTACTGTACTGTATGTTTCAGAAAGTTTCCTTCCCACTCTGAGATTGTAGCGCGCAGCCGCTTTTGAGAGCATGGAGCCAGAGAGACAGGACAGGAGTTGCTTCCCCCCGTCGTGTACGGTACTAGCTCCAGCACAGTTCCTCCCCCCCTTCCCCCGTCTCACCCCCCACGACCCCCAACCACCCCAGCTTTCGGGTAGACAGACAGTGCAGACGGGGCCATGCCCGTCCGTCACATGCCTTGCCTTCCCAAGCGCAAGGTGGGCAGAGTGCGGACCTGCCCTTGCTTGCGTTGCCTCCACAATCCCCCGGCGATTCCCTCCGCGCGCACGAGTTAGGTGGCTCCAGACTCGAGAAGACCTATTACACGTACAATTGATGCCCAACCAGTGCACGCGGATTTGCCTTGCGCCGGATGGAAACGCTGCACCCGAGGTTGTTTCCCCAGCCTGTTGCTCCCACGTTACAAGCGCGTCGCGTGGTTATCAACCAATAGTAATGAACAGACCGAGGTCAAGCAGAAGAGACTGAAGTCAAATTAGGTAACAGATCATGTTTATAAGCACCTGCGAATCCTTTTTAGCTAGCTGCGAATTGACGAAACTTATGCGAAATGATCGTTACAGCTTACGCCCCCTTCACAAGGCGACCGGGAGGGGCTCAAACAGGCATCAATTGTACAGGCCGAAAGTCCGCCCACATCACATCTCATCGAATCGCAGCTCATCCCCGCTATAGTCACTTCGGTGGCAGCCTGCCGAATTTAACCCTCGCCTCAAAAAGTAAATTCGGGATGAGCCCGTCCTCACAGACCCTCTTCCGCAGTGCCGAGCCGCGACGGCGCAGCTTCCTAGCCGTCCCCCTAAATTCCAGCCCAGCCCTTGCCCGCCAAACGAAACCCCCAAGCTGGCGCAGATGTTTCCTCCCCTTTCTCCGCCGCTCTCCTCGCTCTCTCCCACAGGAGCCCCTACCGAGCCGAGGCTCCGAGTCAAGTTCGTTCGTTCCCTGAAGGCGGCAGCGACGGGCGCCCCTCATTCCCTCTCACTGAACGCTATCCTTTCGTGCCACGAGCGGCCAGCGTATATGAGAACGGCCGGCTTTTCCTCCTCGCTCACTCCTTTCGTCCCACGCGCGTTCCGGATTCCATTCCGTCTCTTCCACCCTTCACCGCCGATCTGCCTCGGGGGCGGGTGACTAACTCTCTGGATAGCAGCAGCGGGAGCGTGCGATTCCTATCACTAATCGACCGGCCGCGCATATATAAGCGCCGCGCGGCGCATCCACGTCCACTGCACGCGCTCGTGGCGAACCGCGGACGGGAATCGACCCGCCGAGATGCGTCCCGCCATCACCCTCGCGCGCCGCCTCTGCGCAGTCATCTTGGCGCTTCTCAGCGTCGGCGGCCTCGGCGGCATGAATGACAGAAACGCGGCGGCGAATTCGGCAAGGATCACGCCGGCAGTACGGACGGCGCGCGCGCAGCCAATGGCGGGGCCGCGGTGCGTGAACCGGTTTCCGGAGAAGCCGCTGTGCAAGTTCGTCGACGACCTCGCCGCGTCGCCGCTCACCTTCGTAGACGCGTCGGCCGGCGAGACCATCAAACTCGGCGCGTACGACGTTTACCAGGCGAGTGTGATTGCTGACTACCATCAGTGATGACTCACATAAGCCGTGACCCACATTCCCACCGTCAACCCCGCTCCCTCCCTCACACGCTCTCCCTCCGCCTCCCTCACCGTTTCTTCCTTTCTCCCACCCCCCCCACCCACTGAACCGCGCAGAAGTTCCACCGCGACCGGCCCGCACCAAGGTGTACGCGCACGGCGCCTCCCGCAGCTCACAGGGTCCTCTTCCCCTCTCAATTCTTCCCCATTTCCCTCTTTCCCTCCGCCCGCCCCCCTCACACCCCAAGCGAGCAGAAGTTCCACCGCGACCTCCCTGACACCAAGGTGTACGCGTTTGGCGCCTCCCGCAGCTCGGCGCGCTACCCGGGCCCCGTGCTCCTCGCCACACGTGGCACCACCACCAGGGTGAGCGACACACTTCCAGGGTGAGCGGGCCCCGTCAGCTCTTGCCAGATAGCGTAACAACGTTCTGCTTCATGTCAACTCATGTGTGAGTCAGTCAGACAGAGTCACCGTTGCTTCACTTTGAATGCGCTGCTCCTGAACAGCAACCCTCCTGACGCTCGGCCCTCCTAGCTTCAGGGATGCACGGCTGCACCTGCTACCATGCCCCACGTTTGTCCTAACCTCCTCGCTTGCTTACCCGATTCCCAGATCCGCATTTGATTCCACCCCGATTCTCGAGCAGGTGAAGTTTGAGAATCACATCAGGGACAAGACGCACATGTTCACCATCGACCCCACCCTCATGGCGCCCAAGCTAAAGCACGGCGGTGTGCCCATCAGTAAGTCCACTGCTGACCTGGTTGCCTTTGACTTCTCCTGTGCTGTTTACTCTCCTTGCAAGTGGTTCAGTGCTGTCAATCAGTCTGTCAAGATCGTTAGGCTTTCGGTTCACTGTGTCTCCAACGTTCCGAGCCTCTTCCCCTCTAATTCCCTCCTCAATTCCATCTTCGCTCGCTTCGATTCCCACCTCTCTTCGCTCTCTTCGATTCCCCACCTCTCTTCGCTCACTTTGATGTTACCGCAGCCGTCCATAAGCATGGCGGGGAGACACCAAGCACATCCGACGGTCACCCTCTGGCATGGTACACGGCGAGTGGTGAGCATGGACCCGAGTTCGAATCCCAAGAGCACACATATCCGAACATGCAACGCGCGACGATGCTGTGGTATCACGACCACACGATTGGAATGACGGCACAGAATGTGGTCGCGGGATTGGCGGGGCTTTATGTTATCCGCGACCCGCAAGGCGAGGAGAGGCGGCTCAAGAGGTGGCTGCCACGTGGCGAGCGCCTATTGCACCTCGTGATTGCTGACAGGATCTTTTTCCCGAACGGATCCATCAATTATCCGAAGCAGGGCTTAGTGCCGAATGTCCACCCGAACTGTTGTAAACGGCAAGGTGAGATGAAGGGGCGACTCTTTTTTTTTTTCCTCTGTGTGTGTGTGTGTGTGTGTGTGTGTGTGTGTGTGTGTGTGTGTGTGTGTGTGCGTGTGTGTGTGTGTGTATGTGTGTGTGTGTGTGTTTTCCCTCCTTTTCTGTCTTGTGCAGTTAGTGAATGCTTTTGCTGTGAATCTCGCAACCCTTCTCATTATGTCACTCGTCCACCACTGTCCCTCAGGTTTGGCCGTTCCTCAAGGTTCGGCGAGCGATGCACCGGATCCGTATGGTGAATGCAGCCAACGCACGAACGTACAACCTGACCTTCCAGTGCGCTGCACGTGATGATCCCAACTTCAACCCCCCTTTCAGTGGACCAGTGCTGCCCTTCTACCTCGTGAGTAATGCATCCCCTCCCTTTCCCCCTCCCTCCCCCGGTGCCCCATGTCCCTCTCCCCCCACCCCACCGTCCCACTATGTGATGGAAGACGCAAGACGCGTCTTGCGTCTAGCGTCTAGACGCTAGACGCGTGTTTAGACGCTAGACGCTTGGGTAAAAAAATTCCGGTCAGCCTGAAAAAAAAAAATCGCGCGGCCGAAATCGAATTTCGCGATTTCGACGCGAAATTCATTTTCGCAGCATTTGAACCCCCTCCCACCCATTTCGACAATGAAAAACAGCCCAACCAACCAATTTTTGTTACCCCCCAACCCAAATTGCAATCTCAAAGGTCTTTCTGGACCACCACCAAAGGCATATAGGAGCACAACCCTCAACCCTTTGTGCCAAAATGTGTGCAATGTCCTTCTCCCCGCCCTCTCCACGCCCTATAAGAGGGTTTTTTCGCTGCCCGGACGTTTTTTTTAGGCCTGCCCGGGTTTTCGTCTAATATGCGTCTAATCTGGCCTGAAATGCGTCTAGCGTCTCAGACGCTGCGTCTAGACGCAACCGTCTAAGACGCTAGACGCGTCTTCCGTCACATAGCCGTCCCACCCTCCCAGATTGGTTCTGACAACGTGTTTTGAGTTGACTCAAAACAACCCCCACCTCCCTACCCGCCCAGATTGGTTCGGACGGCGGCTACCTTGTCCGTCCGCTGCGCCGCTCCTCTCTGCTCGTCGTCCCCGGCACACGGCACGACCTCCTTCTGGACTTCAACGCCGCGTCCGCCTCGTGCCGTGACATCATTCTTGTCAACAGCGCCGCCATTCCCTTCCCTGTGGGGCAGCCTGCTGACTGGTTCACGGGCGTGGTCATGCGCTTCATCATCAACCAGCGCTCTCCAATCAAGCCCCCGCCCTGCCCAACAAGCTGTCGGTAAGTTTCCTCCCTGATTCGTGGGGTTGAATGAATGCTGACTGCTTCACGGTCCACGGGCGTGGTCATGCGCTTCATCATCAACCAGCGCTCTCCAATCAAGCCCCCCGCCCTGCCCAAGAAGCTTTTTGTTGAGTGTGTTACGTATATGACTCTCTTTCTGTCTCTCGAGCTCTGTCTGTCGAGCACGCACTCGCTCCCCTTCCCCGTGGGGCAGCCGGCTGACTGGGTCACGCGCGTGGTCATGCGATTCTAGTATTGACCATCCTTGGTGACCTTTCCTGCCTCCCCTCACCCGTGTCAAATCCTCTCGCTGCAGGACATCCCCCCAGTGGACCTCGCCCAGGCAGCGAGGCATCGCTGGCGGGCCTTAGTGTTTGTCATCGACCGCGCGTCACGGGAACCGAGCACCATGCTGCTGGATGGCAAGGCCTCCTCTGCTCCTGCCACTGAGAAGGCCCAAGTGGTGAGCACAGAGCACCTGAGAAGGCCCAAGTGGTGAGCACAGAGCACCTGAGAAGGCCCAAGTGGTGAGCACAGAGCACCTGAGAAGGCCCAAGTGGTGAGCACAGAGCACCTGAGAAGGCCCAAGTGGTGAGCACAGAGCACCTGAGAAGGCCCAAGTGGTGAGCACAGAGCACCTGAGAAGGCCCAAGTGGTGAGCACAGAGCACCTGAGAAGGCCCAAGTGGTGAGCACAGAGCACCTGAGAAGGCCCAAGTGGTGAGCACAGAGCACCTGAGAAGGCCCAAGTGGTGAGCACAGAGCACCTGAGAAGGCCCAAGTGGTGAGCACAAAGCACCTGAGAAGACCCAAGTGGTGAGCACCGAGGCCCTTGTCATGGCCTATTTAGTTAACTCTCGGCTCTTCTAGTACAACTTTATGCTCGCAAGCCAGGATTGTGCCAACTCTCCTTCTCCCTCGGAATTGCACCAGTAGATTCTGCTTAGAGTTCATTTGTTGTGCGTTTTGGCATTTGCCTTTCGAATTCCCTTTTTTCAAATCTCCTTTTTTCAGGGCACATCAGAGCTTTGGCACATCATCAACCCGACATCCGAGACGCACCCCATCCACCTCCACCTCATACAGCACCGCCCCATCTCCCGCCGTCCGATCGACTCTGGCGGGCTAATCAACGCCTCATGTTCGCTCGCGCCCTCCTCCCCTGTCAAGCCCAGCTGCTTCACAGGGCCAGCCAGGGCTGTGCCAGAGCATGAGAGGGGATGGAAGGACACCACTGTTGCATTCCCCAACAGCGTTCTCACTATCTTTGTGCCGTTCAAGGGGCAGGTGAGTGAGATGCAGTGCAGTGTGGTGGAGGGGAAGGTGCTAGGGTGAAAAGACCAGTGTTACTCCCCCCAAGCCCGGTAGTGTTTCACCACCTGTTTCAGGTTCAGGCAAGGCTGTTTTTACCTAGTCCTATTTTTTTGCTTGTTAGTTGGTCCCTTTTTTTTGTTAAGAACAGGCGAGATGTTTTACTGGGGAGGAACGGCTGAGGTGGAGTACAGACAGGGAAACCAGGACTCTGGTGTTGCGTTTCCTGACCAGCTGCGCCAAACTCATACACTCCCGCCCTCCACCTCTCCACTCCCGCCCTCCACCTCTCCACTCCCGCCCTCCACCTCTCCACTCCCGCCCTCCACCTCTCCACTTCCGCCCTCCACCTCTCCACTCCTCAATGCACTCTCTTACCTCTGCACCTGCCCTTTTTCTCCTCTCAACCCTCTTCAATGCACTCTCTTATCTCTGCACCTTCCTTGTTCCTCTTCTCAACCCTTTCTGCAAAGCTATGCTATGCCAACCCTCTGTTCTTCCATGTCTATATCGCCTCTCATATCTCTCCACGTGCAGAATGGCAAGCCGTTCCCCTTTGATGCCACAGAGGGCCCGGGCTATGTGTGGCACTGCCACATGCTGGAGCATGAGGACAACGACATGATGACTCCACTCATCATGACCACAGGGGGGTTACCTAACATCACAGGTGGGTCTGCCATGCATTGGGGCATGACCGCTTAGCCCCATGTGTGGCACTGCCTCATGCTGGAGCATGATATGCAACGACATGATGAGGCCGCTCATCATGACCACAGGGTTACCTACCACATGTGCCTCTGCCATGCATTGGGGCATGCCGCATGACTGCTTAGGACACGGACACTACCAACACATTTGCATGATCAATCCGCCCCACGTGTGGTACTGCCACGAGCTGGAGCATGATGACAACGATGTGATGAGGCAGCTCATCATGACCGCTTAGCCCTGCCTACCATGTGTGGCACCAATCTGAAGTGCAGACCCCTTTAGAACCCACAACCCCCCCTTGCCACCCTTTCGTAAGTAGTTGCATTGGTAAGCCGATTTTGTTGAAACCCGTTCCAGTTCCAGTTTTTGGCTTGTGTACTCTCTAGTTGCATGTAAAAATATGCTGAGAAAATATTCAGAGATAGAAATTACATCTCAGAAGTTTGCCACTGTATGATTGATATCGTGGTTTCCTTTCATGAGCTGTCACTCCAATAAGGTTCCATCCCCTGTGTCTGTGCGAATCTAACTGCTGCCTCATCCTCATGTGTCACTTGCTCATTCAGCAAGGCATGATCCTCCTCCATGCTCCTTCGTAACCTCTTCTTCCTGCGCCTCAAAAGGCGACCTTTGCGGCGCCTCAAAAACCGTTGATTCACCCTCGTGCGTCACTTGGTCATTCAGCAACGCAAGATCCTCCTCCATGCTTCTCCGTAACCGCTGACTCGACAGCTTCTCGTCAACTCTCGCTGCAGACCTCGCTCTCTCATCCCCCCCTCCCGCCTCCTCTTGTAGAGCTTCCAAGTGTTGGGCCACTCGGGACATGGAGGGGCGCGAGGCGGTGGGCATGGCGGTGCAGGTGACAGCGAGGTGGGCAAGGCGAATGACGATGTCTTCAGGTGCTTCCATGCGGGGGTCCTTGAGGAGAGCCGTCTTCCCCTCCGCCATGACATCAGCTGCCTGGCATATGGGGCCGGACAGACATAGTTGGGGGCGGGAAACACATGATGGAGGCTGGGAAATACATGGTAGGATGTGGGAGGCACATGGTTGGGGATGGAAAAGACATGACAGGCGGGAAACACATGCAGTGGGCACAACAGGTGAAGAGAACCCTGATGAGTGCACGCACAAATTGATTGGAAAACGCACCCATTTGGAAATGGAGATTGGCTCGTGGGCAGCACAGGCGTCTGGCTCACTGCCAGTCATCGCACTGATGGTGGCTCCTCTGCCCGACAGCATTACCAGCATGAGAACACCGAAGCTGCGCCACGATACACATGTGGGAACAAGAACAAACTTGAATAGGTACTCTCAAATCGGTTTTGGTCATCTTGGGGTCACCAACGGTCATCGCAATTATGGTGGGTCTTGTGTGCCTGAGAGCAACACCGACATGAGAATGACAAAGATGCACCACAAAACATACTCGTGAACAAAGAAAGAACTGACGTAAGGAAGAAGAGAGGCACGAACGAATGGAAGCAAGGGAGCAAGTAGAAACGCACACTGCATGGTTTGAAACATGTGGGAAAGAAGCATTGCCAAGCGCCATGTCACGATGAATGAGGGCATATGACAAAAGATGAGAGGCGAAGACGATGTTGGAATGTGCATTGTATCTCATTCTTTCATTGAGGGTGCATCAAGCAAACTAGAGGCTGTGCTTTGGCCCCCGTTTCCATTCAATTCATTGATTGACACGTGTCATTCACTGTATATTTGCACTTCAAGGATCTGTTACCTGTATTGTATACACCAGTGACGGCGGTGGCGTCGCATTCCCTAACTCACACATCCAACCTGACTCAAATCTGCAAATCGTCTGGCATTTTCCCAGTGTGAGGCTCAAACCTGCAGCGCACCTGTAAGCGTCAGCAGTGGTGGTGGCGTTGTGTGTGAGGGAGTAAGCAGGGTCCACATAGCCCACTGTTCCCAGCACTCGCGTGAACCCTGCTGTTGTTGCCGTGCCCATTGCTGTGCCCTCCCCCACGTGCACAAGCCCAAAGTCTGCCACCTTTGCCTGGGGAAGGCCGGAAAAGGCAGGCAAAGGCAGGCAAGTCGAGCGGCAGAGGAGGGTTGGGGCAAAATGGGGGTTCATGTGATTCAGACAGCATGGGTTCATCTGGTTGGGAGGGTGAATTGATTTGGTTCAAGATGGCTGTAGCACCTTCCCACTTCACCTGCATGCCCACGCGATATCGTGCATGTGTGCCTGTGCCCGATTGCCACACCTGTGCCTTGCGAGCATCTGATGAGCCCACCTGCATGTGAGCATCAAGGAGGATGTTGGCTGGCTTGATGTCGCGGTGCACGAGGCCAAAGCTGTGCAGATACTCCAAGCCCCGTGCCACCCCCAGGAGAATGCACAGCCGCTGCTGCAGAGTCAAACTTGTGGGCGCATCTGGAAGAGGGCAGAGCAGAGGCACGGCCGCGTGGGAGAGAAGCAGCATGGGAGAGCAGCAGCATGGGAGAGAAGCAGCATGGGAGAGCAGCAGCATGGGAGAGTAGCAGCATGGGAGAGAAGCAGCATGGGAGAGCAGCAGCATCGGAGAGCAGCAGCATGGGAGAGAAGCAGCATGGGAGAGCAGCAGCATGGGAGAGAAGCAGCATGGGAGAGAAGCAGCATGGGAGAGCAGCAGCATGGGAGAGCAGCAGCATGGGAGAGAAGCAGCATGGGAGAGCAGCAGCATGGGAGAGTAGCAGCATGGGAGAGCAGCAGCATGGGAGAGAAGCAGCATGGGAGAGCAGCAGCATGGGAGAGAAGCAGCATGGGAGAGCAGCAGCATGGGAGAGCAGCAGCATGGGAGAGCAGCAGCATGGGAGAGAAGCAGCATGGGAGAGCAGCAGCATGGGAGAGCAGCAGCATGGGAGAGTAGCAGCATGGGAGAGCAGCAGCATGGGAGAGCAGCAGCATGGGAGAGAAGCAGCATGGGAGAGCAGCAGCATGGGAGAGAAGCAGCACGGGAGAGCAGCAGCATGGGAGAGTAGCAGCATGGGAGAGCAGCAGCATGGGAGAGCAGCAGCATGGGAGAGAAGCAGCATGGGAGAGAAGCAGCATGGGAGAGCAGCAGCATGGGAGAGAAGCAGCATGGGAGAGCAGCAGCATGGGAGAGAAGCAGCATGGGAGAGCAGCAGCATGGGAGAGCAGCAGCATGGGAGAGAAGCAGCATGGGAGAGCAGCAGCATGGGAGAGCAGCAGCATGGGAGAGTAGCAGCATGGGAGAGCAGCAGCATGGGAGAGCAGCAGCATGGGAGAGAAGCAGCATGGGAGAGCAGCAGCATGGGAGAGCAGCAGCATGGGAGAGAAGCAGCATGGGAGAGCAGCAGCATGGGAGAGAAGCAGCATGGGAGAGCAGCAGCATGGGAGAGAAGCAGCATGGGAGAGCAGCAGCATGGGAGAGAAGCAGCATGGGAGAGCAGCAGCATGGGAGAGTAGCAGCATGGGAGAGCAGCAGCATGGGAGAGCAGAAGCATGGGAGAGAAGCAGCATGGGAGAGCAGCAGCATGGGAGAGAAGCAGCATGGGAGAGTAGCAGCATGGGAGAGCAGCAGCATGGGAGAGAAGCAGCATGGGAGAGCAGCAGCATGGGAGAGTAGCAGCATGGGAGAGCAGCAGCATGGGAGAGAAGCAGCATGGGAGAGCAGCAGCATGGGAGAGTAGCAGCATGGGAGAGCAGCAGCATGGGAGAGAAGCAGCATGGGAGAGCAGCAGCATGGGAGAGAAGCAGCATGGGAGAGCAGCAGCATGGGAGAGAAGCAGCATGGGAGAGCAGCAGCATGGGAGAGAAGCAGCATGGGAGAGCAGCAGCATGGGAGAGCAGCAGCATGGGAGAGTAGCAGCATGGGAGAGCAGCAGCATGGGAGAGAAGCAGCATGGGAGAGCAGCAGCATGGGAGAGAAGCAGCATGGGAGAGCAGCAGCATGGGAGAGTAGCAGCATGGGAGAGAAGCAGCATGGGAGAGCAGCAGCATCGGAGAGCAGCAGCATGGGAGAGAAGCAGCATGGGAGAGCAGCAGCATGGGAGAGAAGCAGCATGGGAGAGAAGCAGCATGGGAGAGCAGCAGCATGGGAGAGCAGCAGCATGGGAGAGAAGCAGCATGGGAGAGCAGCAGCATGGGAGAGTAGCAGCATGGGAGAGCAGCAGCATGGGAGAGAAGCAGCATGGGAGAGCAGCAGCATGGGAGAGAAGCAGCATGGGAGAGCAGCAGCATGGGAGAGCAGCAGCATGGGAGAGCAGCAGCATGGGAGAGAAGCAGCATGGGAGAGCAGCAGCATGGGAGAGCAGCAGCATGGGAGAGTAGCAGCATGGGAGAGCAGCAGCATGGGAGAGCAGCAGCATGGGAGAGAAGCAGCATGGGAGAGCAGCAGCATGGGAGAGAAGCAGCACGGGAGAGCAGCAGCATGGGAGAGTAGCAGCATGGGAGAGCAGCAGCATGGGAGAGCAGCAGCATGGGAGAGAAGCAGCATGGGAGAGAAGCAGCATGGGAGAGCAGCAGCATGGGAGAGAAGCAGCATGGGAGAGCAGCAGCATGGGAGAGAAGCAGCATGGGAGAGCAGCAGCATGGGAGAGCAGCAGCATGGGAGAGAAGCAGCATGGGAGAGCAGCAGCATGGGAGAGCAGCAGCATGGGAGAGTAGCAGCATGGGAGAGCAGCAGCATGGGAGAGCAGCAGCATGGGAGAGAAGCAGCATGGGAGAGCAGCAGCATGGGAGAGCAGCAGCATGGGAGAGAAGCAGCATGGGAGAGCAGCAGCATGGGAGAGAAGCAGCATGGGAGAGCAGCAGCATGGGAGAGAAGCAGCATGGGAGAGCAGCAGCATGGGAGAGAAGCAGCATGGGAGAGCAGCAGCATGGGAGAGTAGCAGCATGGGAGAGCAGCAGCATGGGAGAGCAGAAGCATGGGAGAGAAGCAGCATGGGAGAGCAGCAGCATGGGAGAGAAGCAGCATGGGAGAGTAGCAGCATGGGAGAGCAGCAGCATGGGAGAGAAGCAGCATGGGAGAGCAGCAGCATGGGAGAGTAGCAGCATGGGAGAGCAGCAGCATGGGAGAGAAGCAGCATGGGAGAGCAGCAGCATGGGAGAGTAGCAGCATGGGAGAGCAGCAGCATGGGAGAGAAGCAGCATGGGAGAGCAGCAGCATGGGAGAGAAGCAGCATGGGAGAGCAGCAGCATGGGAGAGAAGCAGCATGGGAGAGCAGCAGCATGGGAGAGAAGCAGCATGGGAGAGCAGCAGCATGGGAGAGCAGCAGCATGGGAGAGTAGCAGCATGGGAGAGCAGCAGCATGGGAGAGAAGCAGCATGGGAGAGCAGCAGCATGGGAGAGAAGCAGCATGGGAGAGCAGCAGCATGGGAGAGTAGCAGCATGGGAGAGAAGCAGCATGGGAGAGCAGCAGCATCGGAGAGCAGCAGCATGGGAGAGAAGCAGCATGGGAGAGCAGCAGCATGGGAGAGAAGCAGCATGGGAGAGAAGCAGCATGGGAGAGCAGCAGCATGGGAGAGCAGCAGCATGGGAGAGAAGCAGCATGGGAGAGCAGCAGCATGGGAGAGTAGCAGCATGGGAGAGCAGCAGCATGGGAGAGAAGCAGCATGGGAGAGCAGCAGCATGGGAGAGAAGCAGCATGGGAGAGCAGCAGCATGGGAGAGCAGCAGCATGGGAGAGCAGCAGCATGGGAGAGAAGCAGCATGGGAGAGCAGCAGCATGGGAGAGCAGCAGCATGGGAGAGTAGCAGCATGGGAGAGCAGCAGCATGGGAGAGCAGCAGCATGGGAGAGAAGCAGCATGGGAGAGCAGCAGCATGGGAGAGAAGCAGCACGGGAGAGCAGCAGCATGGGAGAGTAGCAGCATGGGAGAGCAGCAGCATGGGAGAGCAGCAGCATGGGAGAGAAGCAGCATGGGAGAGAAGCAGCATGGGAGAGCAGCAGCATGGGAGAGAAGCAGCATGGGAGAGCAGCAGCATGGGAGAGAAGCAGCATGGGAGAGCAGCAGCATGGGAGAGCAGCAGCATGGGAGAGAAGCAGCATGGGAGAGCAGCAGCATGGGAGAGCAGCAGCATGGGAGAGTAGCAGCATGGGAGAGCAGCAGCATGGGAGAGCAGCAGCATGGGAGAGAAGCAGCATGGGAGAGCAGCAGCATGGGAGAGCAGCAGCATGGGAGAGAAGCAGCATGGGAGAGCAGCAGCATGGGAGAGAAGCAGCATGGGAGAGCAGCAGCATGGGAGAGAAGCAGCATGGGAGAGCAGCAGCATGGGAGAGAAGCAGCATGGGAGAGCAGCAGCATGGGAGAGTAGCAGCATGGGAGAGCAGCAGCATGGGAGAGCAGAAGCATGGGAGAGAAGCAGCATGGGAGAGCAGCAGCATGGGAGAGAAGCAGCATGGGAGAGTAGCAGCATGGGAGAGCAGCAGCATGGGAGAGAAGCAGCATGGGAGAGCAGCAGCATGGGAGAGTAGCAGCATGGGAGAGCAGCAGCATGGGAGAGAAGCAGCATGGGAGAGCAGCAGCATGGGAGAGTAGCAGCATGGGAGAGCAGCAGCATGGGAGAGAAGCAGCATGGGAGAGCAGCAGCATGGGAGAGAAGCAGCATGGGAGAGCAGCAGCATGGGAGAGAAGCAGCATGGGAGAGCAGCAGCATGGGAGAGAAGCAGCATGGGAGAGCAGCAGCATGGGAGAGCAGCAGCATGGGAGAGTAGCAGCATGGGAGAGCAGCAGCATGGGAGAGCAGCAGCATGGGAGAGAAGCAGCATGGGAGAGCAGCAGCATGGGAGAGAAGCAGCATGGGAGAGCAGCAGCATGGGAGAGCAGCAGCATGGGAGAGCAGCAGCATGGGAGAGAAGCAGCATGGGAGAGCAGCAGCATGGGAGAGAAGCAGCATGGGAGAGCAGCAGCATGGGAGAGAAGCAGCATGGAGAGCAGCAGCATGGAGAGCAGCAGCATGGGAGAGCAGCAGCATGGGAGAGCAGCAGCATGGGAGAGAAGCAGCATGGGAGAGCAGCAGCATGGGAGAGCAGCAGCATGGGAGAGCAGCAGTATGGGAGAGCAGCAGCATGGGAGAGAAGCAGCATGGGAGAGCAGCAGCATGGGAGAGAAGCAGCATGGGAGAGCAGCAGCATGGGAGAGCAGCAGCATGGGAGAGCAGCAGCATGGGAGAGAAGCAGCATGGGAGAGAAGCAGCATGGGAGAGCAGCAGCATGGGAGAGCAGCAGCATGGGAGAGAAGCAGCATGGGAGAGCAGCAGCATGGGAGAGAAGCAGCATGGGAGAGCAGCAGCATGGGAGAGAAGCAGCATGGGAGAGCAGCAGCATGGGAGAGCAGCAGCATGGGAGAGCAGCAGCATGGGAGAGCAGCAGCATGGGAGAGAAGCAGCATGGGAGAGCAGCAGCATGGGAGAGAAGCAGCATGGGAGAGCAGCAGCATGGGAGAGAAGCAGCATGGGAGAGCAGCAGCATGGGAGAGAAGCAGCATGGGAGAGCAGCAGCATGGGAGAGTAGCAGCATGGGAGAGCAGCAGCATGGGAGAGCAGCAGCATGGGAGAGAAGCAGCATGGGAGAGCAGCAGCATGGGAGAGAAGCAGCATGGGAGAGTAGCAGCATGGGAGAGCAGCAGCATGGGAGAGAAGCAGCATGGGAGAGAAGCAGTATGGGAGAGCAGCAGCATGGGAGAGCAGCAGCATGGGAGAGAAGCAGCATGGGAGAGCAGCAGCATGGGAGAGAAGCAGCATGGGAGAGCAGCAGCATGGGAGAGCAGCAGCATGGGAGAGCAGCAGCATGGGAGAGCAGCAGCATGGGAGAGCAGCAGCATGGGAGAGAAGCAGCATGGGAGAGCAGCAGCATGGGAGAGAAGCAGCATGGGAGAGTAGCAGCATGGGAGAGCAGCAGCATGGGAGAGAAGCAGCATGGGAGAGAAGCAGTATGGGAGAGCAGCAGCATGGGAGAGCAGCAGTATGGGAGAGCAGCAGTATGGGAGAGCAGCAGCATGGGAGAGCAGCAGTATGGGAGAGCAGCAGCATGGGAGAGAAGCAGCATGGGAGAGCAGCAGCATGGGAGAGAAGCAGCATGGGAGAGCAGCAGCATGGGAGAGCAGCAGCATGGGAGAGCAGCAGCATGGGAGAGAAGCAGCATGGGAGAGAAGCAGCATGGGAGAGCAGCAGCATGGGAGAGCAGCAGCATGGGAGAGTAGCAGCATGGGAGAGCAGCAGCATGGGAGAGCAGCAGCATGGGAGAGAAGCAGCATGGGAGAGCAGCAGCATGGGAGAGAAGCAGCATGGGAGAGCAGCAGCATGGGAGAGCAGCAGCATGGGAGAGCAGCAGCATGGGAGAGAAGCAGCATGGGAGAGCAGCAGCATGGGAGAGCAGCAGCATGGGAGAGAAGCAGCATGGGAGAGCAGCAGCATGGGAGAGCAGCAGCATGGGAGAGCAGCAGCATGGGAGAGCAGCAGCATGGGAGAGAAGCAGCATGGGAGAGCAGCAGCATGGGAGAGCAGCAGCATGGGAGAGCAGCAGTATGGGAGAGCAGCAGCATGGGAGAGAAGCAGCATGGGAGAGCAGCAGCATGGGAGAGAAGCAGCATGGGAGAGCAGCAGCATGGGAGAGCAGCAGCATGGGAGAGCAGCAGCATGGGAGAGTAGCAGCATGGGAGAGCAGCAGCATGGGAGAGCAGCAGCATGGGAGAGCAGCAGCATGGGAGAGCAGCAGCATGGGAGAGCAGCAGCATGGGAGAGCAGCAGCATGGGAGAGAAGCAGCATGGGAGAGCAGCAGCATGGGAGAGAAGCAGCATGGGAGAGCAGCAGCATGGGAGAGAAGCAGCATGGGAGAGTAGCAGCATGGGAGAGCAGCAGCATGGGAGAGCAGCAGCATGGGAGAGCAGCAGCATGGGAGAGCAGCAGCATGGGAGAGCAGCAGCATGGGAGAGCAGCAGCATGGGAGAGCAGCAGTATGGGAGAGTAGCAGCATGGGAGAGCAGCAGCATGGGAGAGCAGCAGCATGGGAGAGAAGCAGCATGGGAGAGCAGCAGCATGGGAGAGAAGCAGCATGGGAGAGTAGCAGCATGGGAGAGTAGCAGCATGGGAGAGCAGCAGCATGGGAGAGAAGCAGCATGGGAGAGCAGCAGCATGGGAGAGAAGCAGCATGGGAGAGCAGCAGCATGGGAGAGAAGCAGCATGGGAGAGCAGCAGCATGGGAGAGCAGCAGCATGGGAGAGTAGCAGCATGGGAGAGCAGCAGCATGGGAGAGAAGCAGCATGGGAGAGCAGCAGCATGGGAGAGAAGCAGCATGGGAGAGCAGCAGCATGGGAGAGCAGCAGCATGGGAGAGTAGCAGCATGGGAGAGCAGCAGCATGGGAGAGCAGCAGCATGGGAGAGAAGCAGCATGGGAGAGCAGCAGCATGGGAGAGAAGCAGCATGGGAGAGCAGCAGCATGGGAGAGCAGCAGCATGGGAGAGAAGCAGCATGGGAGAGAAGCAGCATGGGAGAGCAGCAGCATGGGAGAGAAGCAGCATGGGAGAGAAGCAGCATGGGAGAGCAGCAGCATGGGAGAGAAGCAGCATGGGAGAGCAGCAGCATGGGAGAGCAGCAGCATGGGAGAGCAGCAGCATGGGAGAGCAGCAGCATGGGAGAGAAGCAGCATGGGAGAGCAGCAGCATGGGAGAGCAGCAGCATGGGAGAGCAGCAGTATGGGAGAGCAGCAGCATGGGAGAGAAGCAGCATGGGAGAGCAGCAGCATGGGAGAGAAGCAGCATGGGAGAGCAGCAGCATGGGAGAGCAGCAGCATGGGAGAGCAGCAGCATGGGAGAGAAGCAGCATGGGAGAGAAGCAGCATGGGAGAGCAGCAGCATGGGAGAGCAGCAGCATGGGAGAGCAGCAGCATGGGAGAGAAGCAGCATGGGAGAGAAGCAGCATGGGAGAGCAGCAGCATGGGAGAGAAGCAGCATGGGAGAGCAGCAGCATGGGAGAGTAGCAGCATGGGAGAGCAGCAGCATGGGAGAGCAGCAGCATGGGAGAGCAGCAGCATGGGAGAGCAGCAGCATGGGAGAGCAGCAGCATGGGAGAGCAGCAGCATGGGAGAGCAGCAGCATGGGAGAGTAGCAGCATGGGAGAGCAGCAGCATGGGAGAGCAGCAGCATGGGAGAGAAGCAGCATGGGAGAGCAGCAGCATGGGAGAGAAGCAGCATGGGAGAGTAGCAGCATGGGAGAGTAGCAGCATGGGAGAGCAGCAGCATGGGAGAGAAGCAGCATGGGAGAGCAGCAGCATGGGAGAGAAGCAGCATGGGAGAGCAGCAGCATGGGAGAGAAGCAGCATGGGAGAGCAGCAGCATGGGAGAGTAGCAGCATGGGAGAGCAGCAGCATGGGAGAGCAGCAGCATGGGAGAGAAGCAGCATGGGAGAGCAGCAGCATGGGAGAGAAGCAGCATGGGAGAGCAGCAGCATGGGAGAGAAGCAGCATGGGAGAGCAGCAGCATGGGAGAGAAGCAGCATGGGAGAGCAGCAGCATGGGAGAGTAGCAGCATGGGAGAGTAGCAGCATGGGAGAGTAGCAGCATGGGAGAGCAGCAGCATGGGAGAGTAGCAGCATGGGAGAGCATCAGCATGGGAGAGCAGCAGCATGGGAGAGTAGCAGCATTGGGGATTTTGCCTTGCCAAGGAGAAGATCTCAGAAGCCATGAGCAACACCTAAGAAGATGGTCACCCTGCTACTGCAGAGTCAATTTTGCGGTGTGGTGCAGTTTGGTGTGGTGCAGACCCGAAAGGTGGCATCAGTGTCACTGGCACTTCCGAGCCAACAAAGCCATGCCCTGGAGCTTCCGATTTGCTAGGAAACTGCAGATTAGGTCTGTGCAAGGGCCGGCCCCTGCTCGGGACGGACCTCCTTGGCTCGTCAAACCTGACGGGTCGGGCCGGCCTACTTCGAGCCAGGTCCGGCCCAGGCTGTCCCGTCCTCCTTCCGTCACTGTCACGTTTGTCCGCCAACTTGAAACCCACCCGGCCCTACCAGCCAAATTCGAGCTGGCAGGCATTTTGCCCACAAAATCCGTGGCTCGGCCACTACCTCTGGTCAATAGAGCATAAAAGCACTTCTACACCCCCCCCCCCCCCCCCTCCCCCCCTCCACACAACTGCATGGCTGACACAACTACATGGCTGACACAACTGCATGGCTGACACAACTGCATGGCTGACACAACTGCATGGCTGACACAACTGCATGGCTGACACAACTGCATGGCTGACACAACTGCATGGCTGACACAACTGCATGGCTGACACAACTGCATGGCTGACACAACTGCATGGCTGACACAACTGCATGGCTGACACAACTGCATGACTGACACAACTGCATGGCTGACACAACTGCATGGCTGACACAACTGCATGGCTGACACAACTGCATGGTTAGCACAGCACAGCAAAGGACTGGACAGTACCTGGGCCGATCCACGAGCGCAGGTCGCCATTGGTGATGAACTCGTAGACGAGGACGTTCTCCACGCGCGTGTTCACGTGGCCTCCCACTGCGTACCCCAGCAGCCGCACCAGATTGGGATGATGCTTCGTGGCCATCTGCGCCACCTGCGCTGGACCAAGAAAAGAGAGATAGGGAGGGTTTGATACAGCATGGTTGACAGACACAACTGCATGGGAATCAAACAGAGAGGGGCAAGCCATGTGAGTCGACAGAAAGGCCACCTGAGGCTTTTGCATGAGACGATGAGCAGAGAGTCACAGAAATTGGTACATACCTTTGAGGTGCCGGAAACTTCGTGATCTGAGTTACTTATGTGAGGCCAAGAGACCAGAGGGGAGCAGCCGGATTGATACAAACACAACCCAACCGCGAGTTGGCTTCCGATGCTCTCGGAGATTCTGTCACGCTAAATATCTGTAATCATATCTTTATCTCTTTTTTTTCTTCTTTTTTTTCTTTTTTTCCAGAGTAGATGAGCTTCCGCTCTGTAATTTGTACTGCCTTGTATTTCGGACATCTTAAGAGTTAGTTTCATCTTAGGTTCAGCTTAGGTTCATTTCATCCACTGTTTCTCAAACTGAACATGCTTTGGGATCGATTGGGGTTTCACCCCAACCTGTTTTATTGATAACCTTGTATCTTCACCAGCCTAATACAATCCTTCTCTCATCGCTTTGGGTGCCTAGGGTTCTGGTTCTGAACACCTTCTCCTTTCTCTGATTTCTTTCTTGTGAAGTCCTTGTTAGGGTTGATGAATAGCTGACCCACGGGTTGGGCTAGGGCAAAATGCTTTGAGCCACACAAAGCCGTGTCGCGTCGAAGGGGAGATCGTTAATGGGACGGCTGATCATCGGACCTTCTTGGAGTAGACAGGTTCAAATGTCCCCTGTATTTGACTCTTAGAACACAAAATTTAATCTTCTTTTGTTCTCTCTATCTTACTTCATTCCTTTCTTTCTATATCTCTTTCTTCCTTTCATTCTGCCTTTCTTTCGTCTGGCTTATAGCATCGCTGATGCACGGTCTGGCATCAGAAAGGAACGGAAGAAACATGATGTTCATTCTCGGAAGAAACATGATGTTCATTCTCGGAAGAAACATGATGTTCATTCTCGGAAGAAACATGATGTTCATTCTCGGAAGAAACATGATGTTCATTCTCGGAAGAAACATGATGTTCATTCTCGGAAGAAACATGATGTTCATTCTCGGAAGAAACATGATGTTCATTCTCGGAAGAAACATGATGTTCATTCTCGGAAGAAACATGATGTTCATTCTCGGAAGAAACATGATGTTCATTCTCGGAAGAAACATGATGTTCATTCTCGGAAGAAACATGATGTTCATTCTCGGAAGAAACATGATGTTCATTCTCGGAAGAAACATGATGTTCATTCTCGGAAGAAACATGATGTTCATTCTCGGAAGAAACATGATGTTCATTCTCGGAAGAAACATGATGTTCATTCTCGGAAGAAACATGATGTTCATTCTCGGAAGAAACATGATGTTCATTCTCGGAAGAAACATGATGTTCATTCTCGGAAGAAACATGATGTTCATTCTCGGAAGAAACATGATGTTCATTCTCGGAAGAAACATGATGTTCATTCTCGGAAGAAACATGATGTTCATTCTCGGAAGAAACATGATGTTCATTCTCGGAAGAAACATGATGTTCATTCTCGGAAGAAACATGATGTTCATTCTCGGAAGAAACATGATGTTCATTCTCGGAAGAAACATGATGTTCATTCTCGGAAGAAACATGATGTTCATTCTCGGAAGAAACATGATGTTCATTCTCGGAAGAAACATGATGTTCATTCTCGGAAGAAACATGATGTTCATTCTCGGAAGAAACATGATGTTCATTCTCGGAAGAAACATGATGTTCATTCTCGGAAGAAACATGATGTTCATTCTCGGAAGAAACATGATGTTCATTCTCGGAAGAAACATGATGTTCATTCTCGGAAGAAACATGATGTTCATTCTCGGAAGAAACATGATGTTCATTCTCGGAAGAAACATGATGTTCATTCTCGGAAGAAACATGATGTTCATTCTCGGAAGAAACATGATGTTCATTCTCGGAAGAAACATGATGTTCATTCTCGGAAGAAACATGATGTTCATTCTCGGAAGAAACATGATGTTCATTCTCGGAAGAAACATGATGTTCATTCTCGGAAGAAACATGATGTTCATTCTCGGAAGAAACATGATGTTCATTCTCGGAAGAAACATGATGTTCATTCTCGGCAAAGTGATGCATGCAGAACTTCTTGTCGTTGTTATGTCAGCAGATGTTTGTGTAAATGTCCTTGAGATACTCATTGTCATTGTTATGTCAGCATCGTGGTACCTATGGTATACGGAAGAGTCGTACAAGAATAATCAATGGAAAATAAGCCGAAAACAACAGGGATTTGGTGGTAAAGTTTTTGCACCAGCATTTTGTCCCTGAGTCGCCCTTGCTTGTCGCTACCCAGGAGATACCCCATGCGGTACACTTCACCAAAAGAATTTACTTTCGAGGTGCCGCAAAGAAAAGTCGTGCGGTGCGGGTGGTGGCGCACCTCTCTGTGGAAGTCAGCGGTGATGACTTTGGCGCGCTTCACGGCCCACAGCGTGGTGCCATCCTTGGGGCACACCCCGCGGTACACGTCTCCGTATGCGCCCGACCCCAGCAGGCACTCCTTGGACCAGTTGCCCGTGGCGCGCGCCACAACGGCCAATGAGTACCGCCGGCATGGTGTGGCTGTGTTGCCTAAGCGCGGGCTGGAGGAGTCTGCAGGGAGTATGGTATTGGGGAGGGCACGATTGAAAAGAAGGTTGTTTTTTTTTGCATTGTGAGAAGCAGCACATACGGGAACACGGCAGTTTTGCTAGTTACATTTCATTAGACAAAGGTATGGTACTGATATGGTGCTCGTTGCTGAAATCTGTCAGAATTGAGGTGGCTCTCACTCATTTGTGCTCCCTTGGAGAGAAGGCTAACATGTAAAAAACCTCACCTTTTGTGAAGATCTTGAAGTGGCTGGCAAGCCACCAAGCCGAGGCAAGCAGCAGAAGCAAGAGCAGCAGGGCTGCTGTCACAATGCCGATGACCGCTCCCACGGACAGGCTTGATTGGGAGGAGGAATCGAGTGAGTTGGAAGCGGGTGAGGGCGAGGAGGGCGACGAGGGGGGGGAGGGGTAGATGGGTTGATTGGGCGATGGGGATGGTAGAGGGGAGACCGCGATTGGTGATGGTGGTGGGGCTGCTTTGGAGGGACACATGCGCCAGGACATCAGAATCACAAGTATTGAAGCACCGGAATTACAAGTATTGAAGCACCGGAATCACAAGTATCGAAACACCTGAATCACAAGTATTGAACGTGGCACTTGTGGACGTGACACAGACACCCCAAGCAGCTCACATTGATCACTTGTACACGTGGCACAGAATTCGTGGCAGTCTTGGCAGAAGGCACTGTGGTTGACCTGCCGAACCACACAGCTGGACGCATTCGGCGGACAAGTGAGCCCCGAACCTGACATTTCGCTGAAGGATGGAAGAGGGATGGTAAATGGAGCCGGTGAAAAGGGGGGAGGGTTATCGTATGCAGCAGAGGGGAACGCCAAGGCATGATGAGAGAACAGTAGAGAAAGAGATGACGAAAATAATGATGTCTCTTATGTGAAGGGAAGCATGTGACATACTTGTTTTGATACCGGGTCACACGGAACATGAGAGCACACTGCACAGCAGGTGACTCTGTGAGAACTGAGCTTAGAACCGATAAATTAGTAATGAGCGTGAAGCTCCTTAAGTACATCCAGAATGAGCTAGGTATGGATGGGGAGGGGAATCGGGGGCAATCTCTAGGAATTGGGGGTAATCCAATGGCAATCTCCAATTGGTGGGTTGGAGAGGCTTGGAGATCACATTTGGGTTTGGTTGGGATGTGGGTGTACACCCAACCAAACATAAAGTGCAAACTACACTAGTACAAAAGGTGAGATTGAGGGCTAACACTAACAGACTCACAGAAAGATGAGGCTTTTAGAGCCGCCAAGAGAAGCAGGCACGGGTCCAGAGAAGTTGTTGTCACTCAGGTACCTGGCAGTGGGCCAGGCAGGCAGGCAGCGCAATGCATGCAATGCAATGGATGCGCGATTATACACAGCAGGACACCCGAGACGATGGAATGTTCGCCGCGGTTGTGTTGAACAGCTTTTGAGAATCGTCAAAAGCAACTCCAACATGTGCGGATGGGCGAACGTGAAGGAGCAGACACATGTTGAACGAACGTGACATTGGAGGAACGTGACAATGGAGGAATGTGACAATGGAGGAATGTGACAATGGAGGAACGTGACAATGGAGGAATGTGACAATGGAGGAATGTGACAATGGAGGAATGTGACAATGGAGGAATGTGACAATGGAGGAACGTGACAATGGAGGAATGTGACAATGGAGGAACGTGACAATGGAGGAATGTGACAATGGAGGAATGTGACAATGGAGGAATGTGACAATGGAGGAATGTGACAATGGAGGAACGTGACAATGGAGGAATGTGACAATGGAGGAACGTGACAATGGAGGAATGTGACAATGGAGGAATGTGACAATGGAGGAATGTGACAATGGAGGAATGTGACAATGGAGGAACGTGACAATGGAGGAATGTGACAATGGAGGAACGTGACAATGGAGGAATGTGACAATGGAGGAATGTGACAATGGAGGAATGTGACAATGGAGGAATGTGACAATGGAGGAACGTGACAATGGAGGAATGTGACAATGGAGGAACGTGACAATGGAGGAATGTGACAATGGAGGAATGTGACAATGGAGGAATGTGACAATGGAGGAATGTGACAATGGAGGAATGTGACAATGGAGGAATGTGACAATGGAGGAATGTGACAATGGAGGAACGTGACAATGGAGGAATGTGACAATGGAGGAACGTGACAATGGAGGAATGTGACAATGGAGGAATGTGACAATGGAGGAATGTGACAATGGAGGAATGTGACAATGGAGGAATGTGACAATGGAGGAACGTGACAATGGAGGAATGTGACAATGGAGGAACGTGACAATGGAGGAATGTGACAATGGAGGAATGTGACAATGGAGGAACGTGACAATGGAGGAATGTGACAATGGAGGAACGTGACAATGGAGGAATGTGACAATGGAGGAATGTGACAATGGAGGAACGTGACAATGGAGGAATGTGACAATGGAGGAATGTGACAATGGAGGAATGTGACAATGGAGGAATGTGACAATGGAGGAACGTGACAATGGAGGAATGTGACAATGGAGGAACGTGACAATGGAGGAATGTGACAATGGAGGAATGTGACAATGGAGGAACGTGACAATGGAGGAATGTGACAATGGAGGAACGTGACAATGGAGGAATGTGACAATGGAGGAATGTGACAATGGAGGAACGTGACATTGGAGGAACGTGACAAGACGATGGGCTCCACTGGTGGGCCGGCACGTGGTACATGTCGACCAGCAGATGAGAGGAGCAGCAGATGAGAGGAGCAGCAGATGAGAGGAGCAGATGAGAGGAGCAGCAGATGAGAGGAGCAGCAGATGAGAGGAGCAGCAGATGTGAGGAGCAGCAGATGAGAGGAGCAGCAGATGAGAGGAGCAGCAGATGAGATGAGCAGCAGATGAGAGGAGCAGCAGATGAGAGGAGCAGCAGATGAGAGGAGCAGCAGATGAGAGGAGCAGCAGATGAGAGGAGCAGCAGATGAGAGGAGCAGCAGATGAGAGGAGCAGCAGATGAGAGGAACAGCATAGAGCATCACACTCACAACCTCAGAATTGGACGTGTAAGTAAGTTGGAGGTGTAGGTAAGTTTCATTCGAGTTTCACTCACAGCCATCCAATGCACTCACGGCCATCCAATGCACTCACAGCCATCCAATGCACTCACAGCCATCCAATGCTTGACATCTCGGCAATCCAGAGAGGAAAAGCGCCACTCAGGTTGTTGCGCTGGAGGAACCTGAGGACGAGCAGAGTGAAGAGTTTTACTGATCGTTTTTCCAGGAAGATTTTTTTTGTTTCGATCCTTTTTGTTGCTTTAGGGTTTTCCAATCTTCAGAATTGCTGCTCTTCAGAATTGCTGCTCTTCAGAATTGCTGCTCTTCCACTATGAGCGAAGGCCACTTGAGCCTTGAGGCGCTTCAAGAAGAAAATGTGGAACAGCAGAGTGAACCCTTTCGCGAGGTGCCTCAAGGGGGGCCTCAAAGGGAGCCTCAAGGTGAGTCTCAAGGGGAGCCTGTAGAAGAGCAGAGAGAACCATGCAATAAGCTCATGAGCATGTGGACGTCTGTTGCCTCATCACCCAGCAACCAGCTTTAAGTTGCGCACAGTCTGTGGATCTTGACCTTTCATTTCCTGAAAGCTATATTCGTGTTCTCCCATGTTTCGTGAAAGCTATATCTATATTCGTACTTAGTGAACGAGTAGGAAGCCTTGTTCCCATGCATGACCCCATGCATCCATGTTCCCTTGCATGCCCACATGCATCCACGTTCCTATGCATCCACGTTTCAATGCCTCATGCACCCATGTGCCCCTGCTGCTCGTGAATTGTGACTCACAGCTGAAACAGGCCAGAGAGGCGAGAGAGAGTGGTGGGGAGAGTGCCGGTCAAGTGGTTGTTGGAGAGATCCCTACGAGCTCATGCCATGCAGTAGCAGCACACACAGTGGCAGCACACACAGTGGCAGTGGTGGCGTTTCTTCAGTGATACGAAGGTACAATCTACAGAACTTCATGGCATGGAGTGCAGGGCACACAGTGTTGGCATGGCATGCAGGGCCTACAGTGTTGGCATCGTATCGGTACGAAAGAGAGAGGGAATGAAAACAGCACCGTGGGTCAGATTCCCACGGTGATGGTTGAGTGAAAACGATCGGAGGTATGATTTAGCGATCTCACAACTTGCGAATATCCTTCATGTTGCCAATGCCCTCGGGAATGGTTCCCTCAAACTGGTTGTCTGACAGATCCCTGCAGCACCACTCGTCAGCCTTGTCAACCATGTATGAGATTTCTCAAAGCAGCACCAACACAAGCCTCACAACAGCCCATGGTGAGGCGCTGACAGTGACGATACGGCTGATAGGCTGCTGAACTTGGTGAGACTGCTGATGGACTGCTGATGGAGCAGCACAGCAGATACTCTCTTGGATGCATGAGCTGCAAGCATAGGCGCCCCAAAGGCTGCAAGGGCCGGCACCTATGTTGCGGAAGACGCGTCTAGCATCTTAGACGGTTGCGTCTAGACGCAGCGTCTAAGACGCTAGACGCATTTCAGGCCAGATTAGACGCAGGATTAGACGAAAGCCCGGGCAGGCCAAAAAAAAGTTTGGGCAGCCTAAAAAAAACTTCTGTGAGGCATGGGGAGGGTGGGGGACATTTACATATGTCACAATTGGGTCAAAATTTCGCCGTACCATAACTTTTTCCCCATACTTAGAGTTCACAAAGATCTTCACATCTCATCATACATAGTTCGGCTTCCCTCGCCGACGACATCGTCATTCGCGGAGGCGGAACTAGACGAAGGACTAGGAGACGACATGGTTTCGCGAGGGAACCAGCAAAACCCTAAAGGGTTCTTGAAAAAGAATTTGGTAGAAATGAAAGATGGGGAGCACAAATGGGGGATGTGTGCTCCCCAACCTCTTGGTGGTTTGCCATAGAGGTTTGTGTGCAATTTTGGTTGGGGGGTATCAAATTTGCTTGGGGGGGGGGGGTTTCTATGGTCGAAATGGGTGGGAGGGGGTGCAAATGTCACGAAATTGATTTTCGCTTCGAAATCGCGAAATTCGAATTTCGCGCGCGCGATTTTTTTTTTCGGGCTGACCGATTTTTTTTGGCCCAAGCGTCTAGCGTCTAAAGGTGCGTCTTGCGTCTTGCGTCTTCCGCAACATAGGCCGGCACCCAAAAGCAGCATCAGACGCAATGGTAAGCCATGCAGAGACACTGACAGCGTGCTGAGCTTGGTGAGACTGCCAATGGACTCGGGAATGCTGCCAGACAGGTTGTTCTTCCACACGGAGCTGGTGCACGCAGTCAGGCACAGGTAGGGGCGCACATGGGGCAGATTGGGGTACATATGGGGCGGATAGGGAAGGGGTGTACGTGGGGCAGATAGGGGTGCACGTGGGGCGGATAGGGGTGCACGTGGAGCGGATAGGGGTGCACGTGGGGCAGATAGGGGTGCACGTGGGGCGGATAGGGTTGCGCGATTGAGAGCTGTAGCAAGAGGGTTGGGGTGCAGTGAGGGATAGGGCAGGCATGCGCACAGGTTGAACCTGGTTTGGCCCGCCTCGAACCTAGTGGGGCGGCCCGAGCCGGGCTGTGAGTGAAATTTCCGACTCATGCTCGCCCGATTGTTAGATGCTCGGCACAACTCGATGGCTTTTCATGAACCGAACCGAACAGGTACATGTCTGGGTCGAACAATTCCGAACGAAAGAAAAGCCCTTTTCGGTTTGCCCCGAACATGTTCCAGTGAAATCGAACAGGAGCTCTGGTTTTTGCTCATGCCTACTATGTCTGCCCCGGTTGGGCAGGTTCGAGTTCCGCCGGAACCTTGTTCGTTACAGCCACAAATCTCGCATTCCGCCAGTGGGTCCGCACAGATCTCGCATTTCCAATGGTTAGTTTCATTAACCAATGGAAACCGACTGCGGAAAAGATGGTACTTTGGTGAAGAATGAGGCTGGGGAATAGGCTGACCTAAAAGAGGAATTCTGGACAATGAGCCTCACAAACAATCAGCGCTGCCAGACAGTCAGCTAGAAGATGAGCTTAAGATTTTCGTCACGTGCCCATAAAAAGACCATCGGGAAAATTGACACGAGGGTCCTGGGACCTGGGGGCGGGCCTTTCAAGAGTCGCGTCAGGCGGCGCCTCGAGACAAAACGGCCCGGGCCCCCGTTCTTTGACCGGCAAGCCCAAAAATTTCCAGACCGGCCTGGCCCGACCCGGGCCAACCTGCTGAAGTTCCCCGTCTAGCCCGGGACTGGGACAGAGGCAAGTCAAACTGATTCGACTCGGGCCAGACTGGGCTCGCCTGTCTGTTCATGCCTACGAGAGGGAACAGTGAGGGATAGGGAGCGGTGAGGGATAGGGAGCAGTGAGGGACAGGGAGCAGTGAGGGACAGGGAGCAGCGGGGGATAGAAAGGGATACGGAAGGGGTGGGCATGTGATTGCATGAGGATATGTGATGGCCATGCCACAAGCCCAACATGAAGGGTTTGGAGAAATTGCAAAACTAGAAGGCTGATGGGTTGCGAAAACACGAAGGCTGGTGTGTTGCAAAACGTGAAGGTTGATGGCTCTTACAAGACTTGAAGGTGGATGGTGCTGCCGATGGAGTCTGGTATGCTGCCACTGATGCTGTTGTGCGCTACCTCCCTGCAACCCGCCACACACATGCACAATGGACAATGACGTAAGAAGAATAAATACGGGGTATGGGTGCACAATACGAATGAATACAGGATATGATGGGCACAGTTGCCCCGCATCCCACATGAACACCAAGTGAATGTTGTGGAGTGCATCATTGGCCACGTGGAGTGCATCATTGGCCACGTGGAGTGCATCATTGACCACGTGGAGTGCATCATTGGCCACGTGGAGTGCATCATTGGCCACGTGGAGTGCATCATTGGCCACGTGGAGTGCATCATTGGCCACGTGGTTGCACGTTGCTTAAGGGGGATGGAGGGATAAGGGGAATAGTACGGGGAAGTCTTAAGGGGATTCATCCAAATCAAGGAGAAATTGGGGATCAAACAACTCTATAAAAGAATGCTAGAAACTAACAACTGTGCAGCCTATCTTTAACAAGAGATACAACGGAGGGGGCGGGGAGAAAGGCCGGGAGGGGAAAAGGACGCAGCTGTGATTTTGCATGACCATGGGTGATTGAAAAAGAGGCAGACAGCAGAGAGATGCAGAGAGGCAGAGAGCAGAGAGCAGAGAGCAGAGAGCAGAGAGCAGAGAGCAGAGAGCAGAGAGCAGAGAGCAGAGAGCAGAGAGCAGAGAGCAGAGAGAGGCAGAGAGCAGAGAGCATACAGTTTCCTGAGAATGGTGCGACCAGAGATCCAGGAGGGAAAGGGGCCCGATAGACTCATATAGCTGAGGTACCTGCACTCACATGTGCCGCACCGCACCATAGGCACACACACGCGTGTGTGCGTGTGCGCACACGCACACGCTTGCACACGCAACTCACACATACCCACACACACCCCACACTTGCAGGCATACATGCACCCACCAACCCTCCCACCCATGCACGCATACATGCACGCACACAGCCACACATGTGCCCATGCGCACAAACGCACACACACACCGACAAAGATGCACACACAACAGATTCATTGAAGCAGCACCTTCACAGTTAAGGAGAACTGCACGGGCAGTGACTGCTGAGTCCTCATGGAATGTGGTGAGAGGGGGAACAGAGGTTCACTCACAGAGACGAAACAGAGGCTCACTCACAGCAGTTGAAGCTCGTTGAGGTTCTTCATCTCAAGGGGAATGGAGCCTGTCAGTTTGGTGTTTAAGCTGAGATCTCTGTGCGCACACCATCACCACCACCATGCCACGCCATGTGGACATACCAGCGGGCAGCAGAACGATGAAATGGCGTGCAGATGCGGGGGGGTGGGCGTCAAAACAATCGCGTAAGTGATACCGAGATGGGAGAGAAACATTACGACTTAGAGAGGAAGTTGTTGTGAGGTCGAACAACGGGGGGATCGAGGACCATATAGGCAGAAATGGATGCCGTGATACCATAAGAGGATATGGTGCCTGTGTTGGAGGGGTTGAGGGTGAGTCTGGGGGTCACTCACAGGCGTGAGAGGGCAGCCAGGCGAGAGATGGCTGCAGGAATGGAGCCCGACAGCTGATTCCAGCGGAGCTCTCTGCCATTTGTGTCATGGAGTCAGATGCGAGTAAGATGCGTGGCATGGAGTGGCATGGAGTGACATGGAGTGACATGGAGTGACATGGAGTGACATGGAGTGAGATGGAGTGACATGGAGTGGCATGGAGTGACATGGAGTGACATGGAGTGACATGGAGTGACATGGAGTGACATGGAGTGAGATGGAGTGACATGGAGTGAGATGGAGTGACATGGAGTGACATGGAGTGACATGGAGTGACATGGAGTGACATGGAGTGACATGGAGTGAGATGGAGTGACATGGAGTGGCATGGAGTGGCATGGAGTGACATGGAGTGACATGGAGTGAGATGGAGTGACATGGAGTGGCATGGAGTGACATGGAGTGACATGGAGTGACATGGAGTGACATGGAGTGACATGGAGTGACATGGAGTGAGATGGAGTGACATGGAGTGGCATGGAGTGACATGGAGTGACATGGAGTGACATGGAGTGAGATGGAGTGACATGGAGTGGCATGGAGTGGCATGGAGTGACATGGAGTGACATGGAGTGACATGGAGTGACATGGAGTGACATGGAGTGACATGGAGTGACATGGAGTCAAGCATATGCCACACGGCAGGGAAGGGATGGAAACCAAAAAAAATGTGGACACGAGTGAGCTGAGGGGTGATCAGAGTAGCATGGAATGAGGGTTCGAGAGGGTGGGTGAGAAGGAACTGAAACCGTTTCTTCCATTTCTCATCTATCATCTGGCTCACCCTTCGTACATAGACGCACCACACTTGGTCTTATCAGGGGGACGCACCACGCTTGGTCTTATCAGGGGGACGCACCACGCTTGGTCTTATCAGGGGGACGCACCACGCTTGGTCTTATCAGGGGGACGCACCACGCTTGGTCTTATCAGGGGGACGCACCACGCTTGGTCTTATCAGGGGGACGCACCACGCTTGGTCTTATCAGGGGGACGCACCACGCTTGGTCTTATCAGGGGGACGCACCACGCTTGGTCTTATCAGGGGAACATGGCTTCTCAGAACACGGATCAGCGCTCATGAAGAAGGGCAGAGGTAGCAAGAAACGTTCTAGCAAAGAGACGATAGTCACTTCGTGAGAATTGTAACCCTTGAATAAACTTGAGTAAGAGATTCAGTAAGATCCAAACGTACAGATCAATTCAAACTCTAGACTTAGGCAAACATGTTTCAGCTTCGCACGAAGATCATACCTGCTAGGCCTTCATCAGTGCGAGAGGTCAAAGTGAAAGAGCGAACAGGCAAGGCAAGGGGTCTAAAAGAACACCCAAGCCTCGAGATCTACACAAGGAAATCCTACCCTGGGCGCGTAACTAGATAAGAAATGCGCCGAGTTGGCGCCGCCAACTAGACACGAAAGGTAACTCCTAGGTGTCCAGTCACTCTCCGGATTTGTCTTCGGCAGTCTCAAAATTGGGTGGTGGTAGCCTTGCGCAAACAGGCTCTGTTGCACGTTACGTGCACAATATGAAAATTGCGGGTAGAGAGACGAATTTTGAGGCGCCTCAATAGTCATAACTCTCTCAGAACAGCTGCTTCCCTGCCCTTTATTTCATGCAAAAGCTGCTAGTTGCCCGGTGAGGGAATGAGGCATATCCGAGGGCTCCCTTGCCTCTCAGCCTTGAGGTTGCTAACACCGCATTCTATTCCATCCCATCCCATCCCATCCCGTCCCGTCCCGTCCCGTCCCGTCCCGTCCCGTCCCGTCCCGTCCCGTCCCGTCCCGTCCCGTCCCGTCCCGTCCCGTCCCGTCCCGTCCCGTCCCGTCCCGTCCCGTCCCAACCCATCCCATCCCATCCCATCCCATCCCATCCCATCCCATCTCATCTCATCTCATCACATTTCATCTCATTCCCCCTCAGCCTACACTCCTGACTCACGGTCGATCACATCATGCGGTCCTCGCTCTGCCATGACTCATATCCTCTTCTGTCATGCATCCTTACTCATTCGCCTTCTGAGCGAGAATGGATCAATGAGACTGCCCTATGTCACACTGACTTGCGGTGCGGACCAGTCAATGACCACTGTATGTACAACATCCATTACAGCACATATGCACCACTACAGCACATATGCACCATTACAGCACACATGCATACTATGTAAAGATCATCACACCGCTACATTTAAAGAAACAGTGAGTCTGTTTCTCCCGCGGCTGGAGACGCAAGACAACGGCGGGTCCCTCCCTAGGCGTCCCTCCCTAGGCGTCCCTCCCTAGGCGTCCCTCCCTAGGCGTCCCTCCCTAGGCGTCTCTCCCTAAGCGCCGTTCCCTAGGCGATCGACTTTCTCCCACACCCACCAGGTGACGAGCCACCCGAGGGCCGCCCCTCATTGGTGATCAAGCGTGTCTACAAAAGGGAGGCTGGTCAAGAAAAGCCAATGGGTGGGGGTGAAGCTGTGCAAAGGGGAGGCTGTGCAAAGGGGAGGCTGTGCAAAGGGGAGGCTGTGCAAGGGAATTGTTTCTAGGTGACTTTTGAGTCGACTCAGAAGTTACTTTGGAGCTGCCTAAAGGCACCACACACAAATGGGAGCAGCGATGCGATTGGTGGGGTGGAAGAGTGTGCTCACAGCATGGCAAGATTGGTGAGGCGGAAGAGGGATGGAGGGATCGCGCCGGTGAGCCTGTTACCGCCAAGTGACCTATACAGACACAGCGAGGGGCATATGGGGAGCACGGCACAGCGAGGGGCATATGGGGAGCACGGCACAACGAAGAGCATGTGGGGAAAAAGGCACAACAAGCAAGGGGAATATGAAAGAAAGTGGCATGGGCACGGGATTAGCCACGAAGGGCGGGCGCCGTATAAATCAGCGAATGTCCAATGCAGCATGCCTTTGCTCTTGGTCGCATGGACCCACTTTCGGAGCTCCACCTGTACCCCCTTACCTCAACACGAAGCTCCACCTGTACCCCCTTACCTCAACACGAAGCTCCACCTGTACCCCCTTACCTCAACACGAAGCTCCACCTGTACCCCCTTACCTCAACACGAAGCTCCACCTGTACCCCCTTACCTCAACGCGAAGCTACTCAACAACCTTCTGTGTCCTTCGCTACCAAGATAGACCAGGAAGGTTGGGTGAGCTGCCTTTGAGACTCAATTCTCACAAGTGGCTTGTTAGAAGTCTCAAAGGCAACTCAGAATCAGCCTTGTGTCTCCTTTGCTGCCAAGGCTAAAGGAGAAAGGTGTGTCTCCTTGCTAGCCCCAAAACCCTAGACCTTGCTGATTCAGTCCTGCCCATTCCTAAACCATCTGCACCGGAATATAAACCAGCCGGGTAACGCACACCTGTCAGCACACCTGTCAGCACACCTGTCAGCACACCTGTCAGCACACCTGTCAGCACACCTGTCAGCACACCTGTCAGCACACCTGTCAGCACGCCTTCAGCTTTTACCGAAATGGCTTGAAGAGAAATTTCAGCCCCTTGAACCACACAACCCACCTTGGGCCATCACACACTTGCCTCTCTCCTCCCGCCCTTTCTAAAACTGCCCCACTAGCTGACTGCTGGGCACCCACCCACTCCACTCACGCCACTTGGGTCCAGTCTACCGAGACCATGATTGCCTCTATATCAATATGTTTGAGGAGGCACCTCAAAAAGGTGAGTCTAGTGACAGAACCATTGGCCTCTAGGCAACTATTTTTAGTCGACTCAAACATCATCCCCTAAAAAGGTGAGACGAGTGAGATGAGTGCACCATTGTCCTCTTGGCAGCAACGCAAGCTCCATCAATTTGTGCTCCAGTCCCGTGCCCCCTGCAACTGGCACTCTCACCGCCACATTCGTTCAGCTTTCCTCCTTGCCACGGTTGGCGCCACTGCCGGACGGCACAGAACTGAACTCTGATCGAACTCCGCCAACCGTGCGCCAAACGAATGCAAGGAGGAAAGCTGAACCACAAGGGTGACAACGACAGGCCCGGCGCGACTCAACTCAAGCCAAGCGACTTTCAGTCAGCTCACGAAATGCCCTGTGAAGGTGAGAAAGACAGGTTCAGCTCAGGCCACCCAGGTGGCCCGAGGAGATACACAGCACTCAAATGAGGTGACACGTTTGTCGAGCCAGGCACAGCTCTTCGGCTGAACAGGCTCGGCTCGAGACGCGCTTTGGCTCGGTGTAGAAAAACCCGGCTCGGGTTGGCTTGGCTTCTCAGGCAGGTGGCTTGACCAAGTGTGAGCTGATTGATACCTGAAGTTCTGACATTATGACATAGCATGGATGGTTCAATTCGATTCAACCACTGTCTGCTGATGCACCGATCAGAAGTAGCAAGAATGGAGAGGTATGTACGAAGCAAGAATTCGATTCAACTGGGCAACGGCTAGTCCCTGTCCTGAGATGCTTTGCAGGAACCATGCTTACAGGTAGGAGAGGAGAGAGAGGTTAGCAATTGCTGAAGGAATGGAGCCTGAGAACATATTCCATCGAAGGTCCCTGACATGTGCGCCACACACAACACACACACAGCACTGAGTGGGTTACGAAACAAAATATTAAGAAGATGGCATAGGAAGGCCAGTTTGGGTGGGGGGGGGTACCGTACTTGAGCTGTCATACTGGATTCGAGTGAAAACAATCAGCCAGCCATGGTTCTTTCAGCTGATTGAGCAGCGAAACAGGGTGAGACGTGATTTACAGAAGAGATGTACATGAGGCATTCTTGAGCAGCTGGACAGCACATGAGAAACGGGATGAGCCGTTGCTAGATCAACCCTTGGAGCAGCGATTGTCAGTAACTGACAGGTGGGCTGTGGGGGGCTTACTTACATCAACTCTTGTTGTTCTAGGACAACGAAACGATTCCCATAGGTTTGGTCTGGGCTAAAACCCGACCCGAGCATGGGACTCGGGCCGAGTCGGGTCGGGTTTCGGGTCAGGCTTGACCCGACCCGAATTCGGGTCAGGACCAGGGAATTCGGGTCAGACTTTTGGCCCGACCCGATTTCGACACACTGGGGACGAAACCCAAGGTCAAATTGTTGTCGAGGGGTTTTTTTATCCCCTCGACATCAGAACCTACCCACACTCTCAATCTTGCCTAACGGCAGCAAGCAAGTCACCTAAGCTTAGAAACTACTTAGTTACCACCCGTTCAAACCTCATTGACAGACATTCATAGCTAGTTTACTATCGTATCCTGCTGTTCACGGAAAATCGCGATGCAGGAATGCCGTTTTTTTTACAACTTCGTGTTTAACTAAACACACACCCCACTGGACCCTAAACATGGGCGGGTCATCCTGGCCCGACCCGACCCGACCCGTACCCGGGTCCAAGTTGACCCGAGTGTGTAGGCCCGGGTCGGGCCAGAACCTACAGGACCCTGGCCCGAGCCTGGCCCAACCCGACCTGACCTGGGAGCCTGTGTGGCCTGGCTAGGTCGGGTCGGGTCGGGCCGGGCCGGGCCATTTGCTCATCACTAGTTTGGTGAGAGAGAGGAAGGGGCCTGGTTGAGTGCGCTTCTTAGAAAGCCAGTTCAAGATCGATCCGCTTATGAGCCGTTGCTCGAGCGACCCTTATTGTCATGTGAAGCTGAGAGCCAGTGTTGGAGCTTGCATGTGGACTCGGCTCAGGCACACAAAGTTCCAACACACGCCTAATGTGTTGAGCACATGCAACTGCCAGTCGCTTTCGCCTAACCAGCAGCAACGTGTTCTTTGCGCTTCACTGACTGGCCCGTCTCACCTTAGTAGCCCAGCCTGCGTGCCGGCAAAGCGCCACTGTGTCTAAAGTGCCTGTTTCTCCTTCAGCAATCAAAGCTGTGGTCGTACTGAGCCTTTGCGTGAGATAATCAACTTTTGTGAACATATTCAGCTATTGTGGATATATCGAGTTTTTTGTTAACACAATCACTTTTGCACAGAAGAAAAACCGCTTCTGTAGAGTCCAATGCCAAGCACGAGGCACACTAAGGTAGAAAGGATGGTGAAGCGCCAGTGTAGGAAGGAAGGGTTGAACTCCTCTTGGTGGTGCCTGGCTGGCTCTCAGGCTGCTGTGACGTGGAGGTCCTTGATTGAAGGTATCACACACACACACAGATGTGCAAGATTGGGAGCGGTGGAGTGAGGTGGAATACTCACAGCAAGGCGAGCTTGGTGAGGTGGAATATGGTCAACGGGGTTGAGCCATTTAACTTGTTAGCTCCAAGTTTCCTATTTCAGCACAACATGGGGCACACGAGAAGCAGTTGATGCGGATGTGAGGTGAGGGCATAAGAAGCGGCAGAGAGGGACCATTGCAGCATTAGCTCTCACTCACTTCCATCTCGTGCGTTCCATCTCGTGCGTTCCATCTCGTGCGTTCCATCTCGTGCGTTCCAGCATTGTGTATGAAAAGGCTGCTGCTATGCGTTCCGTTTCTGAGAATTCTCAAAAACGAATTCCAAATTTGTATCTTGGCGAAGAAGAATGCCTTGCTTACACAGAGCATTACACAGAGCATTGGCCAGCTCTGATGGGCAGCTCTGATGGGCAGCTCTGATGGGCAGCTCTGATGGGCATGCCTAGTTGTTGCTTTTCATGCACACTATGCTGCTCATCACGCTCATTTCGACTTCAGCGAGGGTCAGTGAGGGTCAGTGAGGGTCAGTGAGGGTCTGTGAGGGTCAGTGAGGGTCTGTGAGGGCCAGCGAGGGTGAGTGAGTGAGGGTCATTGAAAATCCACGAGGGTGACGATGCAGGAGGGGGTAGTGGGTGGAGCCTGGGGAAGGGCACCCCTAAGCCAGGGCTTCCTATCGTACCCCACGCACACACACACACACACACACACACACACACACACACACACACACACAGATAGAAGATTGGCAGTGGCGGAGATTCTTTCTCACAACAAGGTGAGATTGGAGAGACGGATGATGGATGACGGCATCTTGCGGATTTTGTTATTGTCGAGTGACCTATTGAGCCACAACAGGGGGTAGATGGGGAGCAAGACAGAACAAGGGGTAGATGGGGAGCAAGGCAGAACAAGGGGTAGATGGGGAGCAAGGCAGAACAAGGGGTAGATGGGGAGCAAGGCAGAACAAGGGGTAGATGGGGAGCAAGACAGAACAAGGGGTAGATGGGGAGCAAGGCAGAACAAGGGGTGCATGGGGAGTGGAGCAAGGGACAGCAAGCAACAGGAATATGGGTGGGGAGCAAGCAAGTGGCATGGCCACGAGGTTATACGGAGGAGCAGTGCACAAGCAACACAGCAACAAGGAGTGTCTCATCCTCCGTGCCAAATAACAACCGTTCTGCCGTTCTGCCGTTCTGCCGTTCTGCCGTTCTGCCGTTCTGCCGTTCTGAGCACGGAGCATGTGGCATCTGAGCACGGAGCATGTGGCATCTGAGCACGGAGCATGTGGCATCTGAGCACGGAGCATGTGGCATCTGAGCACGGAGCATGTGGCATCTGAGCACGGAGCATGTGGCATCTGAGCACGGAGCATGTGGCATGTCGCCAACGAGGCCCCCAACATCTGACGGTGCCAACCACCAAGTCTTCATCAGCTAACGTCAAGGTTTGCCCACCCTTTTGCCTTGACACACTATGATGGAAGCAACCAACGAGTCAAAGCCAAACGCTAGGGTCAAGTCAAGATCCTTGACGCTTGCTGGGTGAATCTGTTGACCCCGGTTTGATGCTCGTGCAAGCAGGCAAAAAAACGCCCCCGGCAAGCAAAAACAACTTGGGGGTTCAGGGGGTGGAGGTGAGGAGTGGGCGAGGGGGTGGTGTGCGAGTCGGGTTTTATGTGGGGTGAAAAGAGTCGAGTTAGTTTTGCGGGCGTGCTTTCAGTGCGAAAACGTGACCCGGGTTTTTCTGGGGCATGTGGCTTATGGCATCCGGCATGTATGACATGGCATGGCATGGTCGACGGAGGAGGTGAGATTGAGATTACAGGCGTGAGAGGGCAGCCAGGTCAGCAATGGCTTCTGGGATGGAGCCTGACAAATGGTTGAAACTGAGAGTTCTGCCATGCAACGAGTCACATGGGGAGGGGGAACAGAGAGAAACATCACGGCATGCCATGTGATGCGATGTCATGTGACGCGATGCCATGTCATGCCATGTCATGTCAAATTATGCCACGTCATGTCATGTCCTATCATCGCATGGCGTGTAGTGTCATGTCACGTCATGTCATCTCATGTAATATAATGGTATGTCATGACTTACATCTCATCTCATGCCAAGCAGTCGCTTGGCAGCACAGCGGCCGGGGTCAGGGCTCAGTGCAGAGTTGTTTGACTGTCAGCCTGCAGCTGTAAACATGCCTAGATGGAGTCGCTTACCGCACCGCACCTGCATTCTCAAGACCCTTGCTTACCGCACCTGCATTCTCAAGCCCCTTGCTTACCGCACCTGCATTCTCAAGCCCCTTGCTTACTGCACCTGCATTCTCAAGACCCTTGGTTTGTGAAAACGAGGTATCACCCGGCAGAGGAACGTGAGAGGCCTTCTTCCTATGAGATGAGTTATGAGGCGCCTCTCTAACAGTCCATGTATTGATGTATGCTTATAGGTACAAGCATGCAGTGGTGGTGATCCACACAGCACCTGGCAAACAAACGACAAGCTACCTACGAGACTAGTCACATTACCCAAAACAAACAAAACAGAACAAGACACAGCAAGCAGCGCCTCTCTAGGTATCGGCCAGCAGAGAAACGTGAGAGGCCTTACTCTTATGAGATGAGTTTTGAATGAGGTGCCTTTCTATTGATCGCCCTCCTGAGAAAAATGCAGACCTTCTTCTCATTGGATACGCAAAGAACTGTTTTTTCATGTGAGACCTTAGCTTGCTGCCATGGTGGAACGCATGGGTGAAAGTGCAAATCCAGCTTAGCTTGCCATGTATGTAACGTAGTGGTGATGGTTCGGAGGTGCTCGGGCATTGACTGTAGCACGGCCTACTTGCCACTCACAGGTCTTCTAAGCGGGTGAGGCGAGGCATGGTGGGTGGAAGGGAGCCTGTGAGCTTGGTGCTTGTGAGACGCCTGGATCGAGGGAAGTTGTATGTAGGGCGGCCAAGGAGGGAATGAGTTTGGAGACGCAGGGCCAAGAACCGGGAAGGCACGCATGGCGTGGGAGTGGTTGACATTGAGGTTGTGTGTACGGCAGCGGTGTGTACGGCAGCGGTGTGTACGGCAACGGTGTGTACGGCAGCGGTGTGTACGGCAGCGGTGTGTACGGCAGCGGTGTGTACGGCAGCGGTGTGTACGGCAGCGGTGTGTACGGCAGCGGTGTGTACGGCAGCGGTGTGTACGGCAGCGGTGTGTACGGCAGCGGTGTGTACGGCAGCGGTGTGTACGGCAGCGGTGTGTACGGCAGCGGTGTGTACGGCAGCGGTGTGTACGGCAGCGGTGTGTACGGCAGCGGTGTGTACGGCAGCGGTGTGTACGGCAGCGGTGTGTACGGCAGCGGTGTGTACGGCAGCGGTGTGTACGGCAGCGGTGTGTACGGCAGCGGTGTGTACGGCAGCGGTGTGTACGGCAGCGGTGTGTACGGCAGCGGTGTGTACGGCAGCGGTGTGTACGGCAGCGGTGTGTACGGCAGCGGTGTGTACGGCAGCGGTGTGTACGGCAGCGGTGTGTACGGCAGCGGTGTGTACGGCAGCGGTGTGTACGGCAGCGGTGTGTACGGCAGCGGTGTGTACGGCAGCGGTGTGTACGGCAGCGGTGTGTACGGCAGCGGTGTGTACGGCAGCGGTGTGTACGGCAGCGGTGTGTACGGCAGCGGTGTGTACGGCAGCGGTGTGTACGGCAGCGGTGTGTACGGCAGCGGTGTGTACGGCAGCGGTGTGTACGGCAGCGGTGTGTACGGCAGCGGTGTGTACGGCAGCGGTGTGTACGGCAGCGGTGTGTACGGCAGCGGTGTGTACGGCAGCGGTGTGTACGGCAGCGGTGTGTACGGCAGCGGTGTGTACGGCAGCGGTGTGTACGGCAGCGGTGTGTACGGCAGCGGTGTGTACGGCAGCGGTGTGTACGGCAGCGGTGTGTACGGCAGCGGTGTGTACGGCAGCGGTGTGTACGGCAGCGGTGTGTACGGCAGCGGTGTGTACGGCAGCGGTGTGTACGGCAGCGGTGTGTACGGCAGCGGTGTGTACGGCAGCGGTGTGTACGGCAGCGGTGTGTACGGCAGCGGTGTGTACGGCAGCGGTGTGTACGGCAGCGGTGTGTACGGCAGCGGTGTGTACGGCAGCGGTGTGTACGGCAGCGGTGTGTACGGCAGCGGTGTGTACGGCAGCGGTGTGTACGGCAGCGGTGTGTACGGCAGCGGTGTGTACGGCAGCGGTGTGTACGGCAGCGGTGTGGTACGGCAGCGGTGTGTACGGCAGCGGTGTGTACGGCAGCGGTGTGTACGGCAGCGGTGTGTACGGCAGCGGTGTGTACGGCAGCGGTGTGTACGGCAGCGGTGTGTACGGCAGCGGTGTGTACGCAGCGGTGTGTACGGCAGCGGTGTGTACGGCAGCGGTGTGTACGGCAGCGGTGTGTACGGCAGCGGTGTGTACGGCAGCGGTGTGTACGGCAGCGGTGTGTACGGCAGCGGTGTGTACGGCAGCGGTGTGTACGGCAGCGGTGTGTACGGCAGCGGTGTGTACGGCAGCGGTGTGTACGGCAGCGGTGTGTACGGCAGCGGTGTGTACGGCAGCGGTGTGTACGGCAGCGGTGTGTACGGCAGCGGTGTGTACGGCAGCGGTGTGTACGGCAGCGGTGTGTACGGCAGCGGTGTGTACGGCAGCGGTGTGTACGGCAGCGGTGTGTACGGCAGCGGTGTGTACGGCAGCGGTGTGTACGGCAGCGGTGTGTACGGCAGCGGTGTGTACGGCAGCGGTGTGTACGGCAGCGGTGTGTACGGCAGCGGTGTGTACGGCAGCGGTGTGTACGGCAGCGGTGTGTACGGCAGCGGTGTGTACGGCAGCGGTGTGTACGGCAGCGGTGTGTACGGCAGCGGTGTGTACGGCAGCGGTGTGTACGGCAGCGGTGTGTACGGCAGCGGTGTGTACGGCAGCGGTGTGTACGGCAGCGGTGTGTACGGCAGCGGTGTGTACGGCAGCGGTGTGTACGGCAGCGGTGTGTACGGCAGCGGTGTGTACGGCAGCGGTGTGTACGGCAGCGGTGTGTACGGCAGCGGTGTGTACGGCAGCGGTGTGTACGGCAGCGGTGTGTACGGCAGCGGTGTGTACGGCACGGTGTGTAGAGGCAGCGGTGTGTACGGCAGCGGTGTCCGTGTACGGCAGCGGTGTGTACGGCAGCGGTGTGTACGGCAGCGGTGTGTACGGCCAGCGGTGTGTGTACGGCAAGCGGTGTGTACGGCAGCGGTGTGTACGGCAGCGGTGTGTACGGCAGCGGTGTGTACGGCAGCGGTGTGTACGGCAGCGGTGTGTACGGCAGCGGTGTGTACGGCAGCGGTGTGTACGGCAGCGGTGTGTACGGCAGCGGGTGTACGGCAGCGGTGTTTAACGGCAGCGGTGGTGTACGGCAGCGGTGTGTACGGCAGCGGTGTGTACGGGCAGCGGTGTGTACGGCAGCGGTGTGTACGGCAGCGGTGTGTACGGCAGCGGTGTGTACGGCAGCGGTGTGTACGGCAGCGGTGTGTACGGCAGCGGTGTGTACGGCAGCGGTGTGTACGGCAGCGGTGTGTACGGCAGCGGTGTGTACGGCAGCGGTGTGTACGGCAAGCGGTGGTGTACGGCAGCGTTGTGTACGGCAGCGGTGTGTAACCGGCAGCGGTGTGTACGGCAGCGGTGTGTACGGCAGCGGTGTGTACGGCAGCGGTGTGTACGGCAGCGGTGTGTACGGCAGCGGTGTGTACGGCAGCGGTGTGTACGGCAGCGGTGTGTACGGCAGCGGTGTGTACGGCAGCGGTGTGTACGGCAGCGGTGTGTACGGCAGCGGTGTGTACGGCAGCGGTGTGTACGGCAGCGGTGTGTACGGCAGCGGTGTGTACGGCAGCGGTGTGTACGGCAGCGGTGTGTACGGCAGCGGTGTGTACGGCAGCGGTGTGTACGGCAGCGGTGTGTACGGCAGCGGTGTGTACGGCAGCGGTGTGTACGGCAGCGGTGTGTACGGCAGCGGTGTGTACGGCAGCGGTGTGTACGGCAGCGGTGTGTACGGCAGCGGTGTGTACGGCAGCGGTGTGTACGGCAGCGGTGTGTACGGCAGCGGTGTGTACGGCAGCGGTGTGTACGGCAGCGGTGTGTACGGCAGCGGTGTGTACGGCAGCGGTGTGTACGGCAGCGGTGTGTACGGCAGCGGTGTGTACGGCAGCGGTGTGTACGGCAGCGGTGTGTACGGCAGCGGTGTGTACGGCAGCGGTGTGTACGGCAGCGTGTGGGACGGCAGCGGTCCTGTGTACCGGCAGCGGTGTGTACGGCAGCGGTGTGTACGGCCAGCGGTGTGTACGGCAGCGGTGTGTACGGCAGCGGTGTGGTACGGCAGCGGTTGTGTACGGCAGCGGTGTGTACGGCAGCGGTGTGTACGGCAGCGGTGTGTACGGCAGCGGTGTGTACGGCAGCGGTGTGTACGGCAGCGGTGTGTACGGCAGCGGTAGTGTACGGGCAGCGGTGTGTACGGCAGCGGTGTGTACGGCAGCTGGTGTGTACGGCAGCGGTGTGTACGGCAGCGGTGTGTACGGGCAGCGGTGTGTACGGCAGCGGTGTGTACGGCAGCGTGGTGTACGGCAGCGGTGTGTACGCAGCGGTGTGTACGGCAGCGGTGTGTACGGCAGCGGTGTGTACGGCAGCGGTGTGTAACGGCAGCGGTGTGTACGGCAGCGGTGTGTACGGCAGCGTGTGTACGGCAGCGGTGTGTACGGCAGCGGTGTGTACGGCAGCGGTGTGTACGGCAGCGGTGTGTACGGCAGCGGTGTGTACGGCAGCGGTGTGTACGGCAGCGGTGTGTACGGCAGCGGTGTGTACGGCAGCGGTGTGTACGGCAGCGGTGTGTACGGCAGCGGTGTGTACGGCAGCGGTGTGTACGGCAGCGGTGTGTACGGCAGCGGTGTGTACGGCAGCGGTGTGTACGGCAGCGGTGTGTACGGCAGCGGTGTGTACGGCAGCGGTGTGTACGGCAGCGGTGTGTACGGCAGCGGTGTGTACGGCAGCGGTGTGTACGGCAGCGGTGTGTACGGCAGCGGTGTGTACGGCAGCGGTGTGTACGGCAGCGGTGTGTACGGCAGCGGTGTGTACGGCAGCGGTGTGTACGGCAGCGGTGTGTACGGCAGCGGTGTGTACGGCAGCGGTGTGTACGGCAGCGGTGTGTACGGCAGCGGTGTGTACGGCAGCGGTGTGTACGGCAGCGGTGTGTACGGCAGCGGTGTGTACGGCAGCGGTGTGTACGGCAGCGGTGTGTACGGCAGCGGTGTGTACGGCAGCGGTGTGTACGGCAGCGGTGTGTACGGCAGCGGTGTGTACGGCAGCGGTGTGTACGGCAGCGGTGTGTACGGCAGCGGTGTGTACGGCAGCGGTGTGTACGGCAGCGGTGTGTACGGCAGCGGTGTGTACGGCAGCGGTGTGTACGGCAGCGGTGTGTACGGCAGCGGTGTGTACGGCAGCGGTGTGTACGGCAGCGGTGTGTACGGCAGCGGTGTGTACGGCAGCGGTGTGTACGGCAGCGGTGTGTACGGCAGCGGTGTGTACGGCAGCGGTGTGTACGGCAGCGGTGTGTACGGCAGCGGTGTGTACGGCAGCGGTGTGTACGGCAGCGGTGTGTACGGCAGCGGTGTGTACGGCAGCGGTGTGTACGGCAGCGGTGTGTACGGCAGCGGTGTGTACGGCAGCGGTGTGTACGGCAGCGGTGTGTACGGCAGCGGTGTGTACGGCAGCGGTGTGTACGGCAGCGGTGTGTACGGCAGCGGTGTGTACGGCAGCGGTGTGTACGGCAGCGGTGTGTACGGCAGCGGTGTGTACGGCAGCGGTGTGTACGGCAGCGGTGTGTACGGCAGCGGTGTGTACGGCAGCGGTGTGTACGGCAGCGGTGTGTACGGCAGCGGTGTGTACGGCAGCGGTGTGTACGGCAGCGGTGTGTACGGCAGCGGTGTGTACGGCAGCGGTGTGTACGGCAGCGGTGTGTACGGCAGCGGTGTGTACGGCAGCGGTGTGTACGGCAGCGGTGTGTACGGCAGCGGTGTGTACGGCAGCGGTGTGTACGGCAGCGGTGTGTACGGCAGCGGTGTGTACGGCAGCGGTGTGTACGGCAGCGGTGTGTACGGCAGCGGTGTGTACGGCAGCGGTGTGTACGGCAGCGGTGTGTACGGCAGCGGTGTGTACGGCAGCGGTGTGTACGGCAGCGGTGTGTACGGCAGCGGTGTGTACGGCAGCGGTGTGTACGGCAGCGGTGTGTACGGCAGCGGTGTGTGCGGCAGAGGTGTGTGCGGCAGAGGTGTGTGCGGCAAGAAGGAATGAGGAGAAATCATGGCTGCATGGATGGATCGACGCATCACCTTGCGCACTAACATGGCTTGGCATGGCCTCACGTGGCATGGGCTTGCATGGCATGGCATGGCCTCACATCACATGGCATGGCATGGCCTCACGTCACATGGTATGGCATGGCCTCACGTCACATGGCATGGCATGGCATGCGGCAGCGTACAGTTGAGTGAGTGCGGTGAGGTTCCCAATGGCATCTGGGATGGGTCCCTCCAACGGCTTGCCACTCACTTCCCTACACGGTCACATGGGGGCCATGCGGGGCATGGGGGCATGGGGGGTGGGGGGCATGGGGAGCATGGGGGACAGGGCATGAGGGGCATGGGGGGTGGGGGGCATGGGGGGGCATGGGGGGCATGGGGGGCATGGGGGGCATGGGGGTCATGGGGGGCATGGGGGGGGCATGGGGGGCATGGGGGGCATGGGGGCCATGGGGGGCATGGGGTAAAGTGCATGGGGGGCATGGGGGTCATGGGGGGCATGGGGGGCATGGGGGGCATGGGGTGGGGGGCATGGGGTGGGGGGCATGGAGTGGGGGGCATGGGGTGGGGGGCATGGGGTGGGGGGCATGGGGTGGGGGGCATGGGGGACATGGGGGGCATGGGGACATGGGGTAAAGGGCATGGGGAGCATGGGGGGGCATGGGGGGGCATGGGGGGCATGATGGGCATGGGGGGCATGGGGGGCATGGGGGGGCGCGGGGGACATGGGGGACAGGGGGGGGGCATGGGGGGACATGGGGGCCATGGGGAACATAGGGGGCATGGTCCAGCAGGCATGGTCCACCAAGCATGGACCAGCATGCATGGGAGAGAGGGGGCCGGGAAATAGAGGCGGGGAGAGAGGGGGTGGGAAGAGAGGGGGTGGGAAGAGAGGGGGCGGGGAGAGAGGGGGCGGGGAGAGAGTGGGCGGGGAGAGAGTGGGCGGGAAGAGAGGGGGTGGGAAGAGAGGGGGCGGGGAGAGAGGGGGCGGGGAGAGAGTGGGCGGGGAGAGAGTGGGCGGGGAGAGAGGGAACGGAGAGAGAGGGGACGGGGAGAGAGAGAGCGGGGAGGGGAAGGGGGCGGGGGAAGTGTGCGGGGCGCACAGGGAGACGATGAAACCTGCCGCATTGCAGCGCACGCCCTCCACCTGCGCGCAGTCCCCCCCCTTGCTCCATCCGCGCAGCTGCGCCTGCCACTGCCTCTGACACTCCGCCAGCACCGCCGCTGCGGGGAACAGGGGGAGGGGGAGGAGGCGGATTGAGATGAGCAGGCTGATAGGGAGAGCAGGACTGGGCGGCGAAAAGGAGGAGAAGAGAAGGCGAGGATGAGACGCGGATGCGGGTGAGACGATAAATAGACAAGCGGCGGAGAGGGATGGACGGGGGTGTACACGGTTCTAGAACAAGACAGCCGTTGGAGGAATGATGGGAGGGGAAAGTGTGGACTCCGTGAGACTTTGGGAGGCAGGATGGGTTCAGCGTGACCCGGGCAAGCTGGAGAGATGCAACGGCGCATGGGGAAAGGTGAGAGACCCGTGGAGAGCTTCTTCATGCGGGCGTAGCTTAATGTACGGTATATTCCGAAAGTTGCCGTAAATGTACGGGTAATGGTAGTGCGGTAACGATCATAAGCGACAGCGCCGCGACGGACCTTGCGAGGGGTTGAGCGTTACGACAGCCGTCGACGGCGAGGCGAGGGAGAGCATGAGTGATACGAGAAGAACGGCGAGGCGACGCGACCTTGCCATGGTGAATGCATCACAGCCCTTACGTTTCCTTCTGTGCTGTGTGGTAATTCGGAACTAAATTAGGAAGTAACTGTAGCACGCCGTCTTTGTTCGCTCGTCTTTGATCGCGTCCGCCTGGTCTTGAAATCAAGCAAGTCCGCGTTAAAAAAAGCCCGACATAGGAAACTATGCGAATTAGCAAAGACGGTGCTCGATAACGGAAACGTTAACCCAAGTAGTGTGGTTTTCATTAGTTCACGAAGTTGTTTCACGCGTTTGGTCACTTGTAACGAATTTTCAAATTCCAGTTTGAACACGAAACTACAAATAACACGAAAGACCGTAGGGCGGGCAGCACAGTGGTAGTCATAGAACGAAGGAGAGGAGAAAATATTGGACGGCTTAGCAGGCCATGGGAGAAGAGAGGGTGGCGGAACTATCAAAACTAGGCTAGGAAGTGAGTGTCGAGAGAATTGTGTGAGAAAGGAGGAACGAGATACAAGTGTCGACCTAAAGTGTTATACCCTTTAGAGGGCAACTCACTGTAGCCTATCTAACAATATATGGAAGATATAAACATTCGACACACCCCCATAGGCTAAGTGAGGGGCATCAAAGCAAGCAGGGTGAACAGACGGTCACAAGACCAGTCAAGACACAAAGCAAAAAAAGCTCAGGGTGGATCTCAAGTACACCACACAAATTCCGAGCACAAAGGAAGCGGCCACAAGGCCAGTTCAAGAGTTCACTAGGATATATAGAAAAGCAAAACAAGCAGAGCAAACAACAAGGCTACAGCAGTCGAGGGCCTACCTCAACAAGCCCCAACTGTACACAGAACCTGTGGTGGTCACCAGGCGCCAAGGCCTTGGTGAAGTCGTCGGCAGTGTTGACCTCTGAGGCCATAAAGTCCAAGCGTGCCTGGCCACGTCGCTGCAACTCTCGCAGGAGGAAGTACCTCACGTCAATATGCTTCACTTTGCTCTCCAGTCAAGGCTCTCGACATAGGAGGATTATGGCCTTGTTGTCAGCGTACAAGGTCGGTGCAGGGCGAGGCCGCTCACTAAGGTCGGCGAGCAAGAAGGTCAACCAGCGAAGCTCCTATGCCGCCATGGCACCAGTGTAGATCTCTGCCTCTGCACTGGACGAAGCCACTGACGACGACCGTGTAGACCTTCACGACACAGCACCATCATCCAGACCGAAACAGTAACCCTGAGTCGAACGCTGGGTCTCCACGTCGTCAGCATAGGAAGAGTCGCAGTGACCGGTCAACACAACAGGCTGAGTCCCTCCAAGCACAAGCCTCATGCCTGATGTAGTCGCCAGGTACTTCGCCACCCTCACAGCAGCTGTCCAGTGAACAGGACGGTGTCTCCAAGTCGCAACAAAGCAAGAGAGGACGCTGAGGGGAAAGACGAGGTCCGGCCGAGTATAAGTCATCAGGTACATGAGGCAGCCCACAAGCTCTGCGCAGGGGCCACTAGACTCAAAGGGCTCATCGGGAAAAGGGCCAGTGAGTCGGTGGTCAACGGCAAGAGGAGTGGGTTGTGTGGTGGAGAACTGAAACCCGAACCGCCGAAGGACCTGCTGCACCATGTGTGACTGAGTTAGTATGATGGTGTGAGCGACTCTGTTCCTGGTGATCTGCAGGCCAAGGTAGCGCTCCAGTTCACCGAGGTCAGTGCACTTGTGTCTCTTCTGCGGTTCGGATTTCACCTCAGTCAGAGCTGCCCTGTCTGCTATAGCAAAGACCAAGTCGTCGACGTACACTAGTATAAAGAAAGGAGTGGAACCAGTGCGAACAAACAACGACGGGTAGGCAGAGGAAGGACGAAACCCAAGGTCACGAAGCGTGGAGCGAAGAGTGTCGTGCCACTCACGAGGCGACTGACGGAGATCGCAGACTGGCCGCCTCAGGCTCCACTAGGTCCCAAGTGGGAAGGTGTCAGTGAAGCCAGGAAGACGGCGCAGCCATATCTCCTCGTGTAGACAGCCCTGGAGAAACGCAGTGGAGAACTCAAGGGAGTGCAGCTCGTAGTCTCGCTGTGCTGCAATGTGCAGTAACACCCAAAGAGTAGTCATCTTCGGGGTCAGGGCGAAGGTCTGGAAGAAGTCAACTCCCTCACGCTGACTGAAACCCCTATCCATGTAGTGTAACCTTGAACACAGGCGGTGAACCAGGCAGCCGCTTCACCTTGAAGAGCCACATGCCATCGACAACGTTCGCCTCGGGAGGAGGAACTGCGTCGACGTACGTGCCTGTGGACCTCCAAGACGCTAGCTCTGCATCCATAGCCGCTTTCCACTGAGAGGCCCACTCCCCTGACACTGCCTCACGGTAAGTGCGAGGTGTCGGTATGTCAAGGGCGTCGGGGTCTCCCTAAAGGGAAAGAAGCATGGCGCAGAGAGAGGGGGAAGTGGCTGCTAAGAACTCCAGCTCAAACTGCCTGTCCTCTAGGACGTCACAGCCAAGGGCAGACTCACCCCCAACGGACAGAGGACGGGGAGGTGGAGCAGCCACCACACGCGTGGCGTAGTCAAGACGGCGGGTGGAAGCAAAGTCAACGACAACGGCAGTAAGAGCCGAGACAGACGACGGAGGGGCACGAGGGTCGGTGACATGAGGGGTGAGAACACGAGAGACAACAGGGCGAGCAGTATGGTAGTGGTCAGTGATAGGGTGAGAGGAAATGGTGAGAGACGACTCAGGAGGTGAGGGAAAAACAGTCAGAGGCGGAGAACGACGAGGAGGAGAACGAAACAAGACGGTGCAGAGGTCGGCAAGAGGAGACGAGGGCCGAGCATGCGGAGGACAACGACTGGTCCAGTCGTGCGGGACAACAGAAGGAGACGACCGTGACTGAGGAGGAGAGAAAACAGCCGGAGTCGAGTCCAGAGGAGGAAACGTAGAACCATACGCAGTAGGTGACTGCGAGTGAACAGGAGGAGAGGAAGGAAGACCAAGGGCCCGAAGGCCACTCACTGGAGGGAACAGCTGCTGCAAAGGTGGCAGCTGCGGCGTCTGCTGCTGCTGCTGCTGCTGGTCCAACCGCTGCAGCTCCTGCCTCTCCTGCTGCACCCACTCCTGCTCCGCGCGCTCAAGCTGGCGAAGGGCCTGGAAACGGGTGTCGTGGTGGTGGGGACGCGCAGTGGGCGACGCAGTAGGCGAGCCTCTAGCTCCCGTCTCCTCAGTACCAGCACCCCCAGCTCCAGCACCCCCAGAACTAGCACCTCCATTGCCAGTACCTCCAGCACCAGCACCCCCAGATCTAGCACTTCCAGTGGCAGCACCTCTAGCTCTAGTACCCCCAGAATTAGCACCTCCAGTGCCAGAACCTCCAGCTCCAGCACCCCCAGAGCTAGTGCCACCTGCGCCAGCACCTTCAGCTCCAGCACCAACCGAGTCCACAGTAACCTATCGTGGAAGTGCCGAAGGCTGCTGAAGGGACTGTGAGGAGGACTGCGGGGAGGGAGACGATACCTGACGCGCGACCGAGATTAGAGGGGTAGCGTGAGACACACCTGACGGGGCAGGACTAGGGGGGGGCGGGGGTCCTGGAGGAGCGGGAACAGGGGGGGGAGAGGGTGCGAGGAAGAGGGGGGAGGGGGAACCGGAGACCTCGACAAGGGTACCGGGTGTAGTAGAACACTGACTCGTCAAACCGGACGTCACGAGAGTCTAGAAACGGGTGGAGGGGCGGGTGGTAAAAGGAGTAGTCGGCAGAGCCCACCGGGAAACCAAGTAAGACACAGGGGATGGCACGAGCCGAGAGCTTGTCCGCAGAGGTGTCGCGGACAAGCACAAGACAGCCCCAGACGTGAAAGGCCGACCCAACACCAGGGGACCCAGTCCAAAGACTAGTCGGTGAAACCTCAGGCCGCGAGACACGCGGCTGGAGGTTCAGCTGGTGCGCGGCGTAGGGCCACAGAAAATGGGGGCATGGGCATGGATCATGGACTTGCAGGCGATGTCCATGACCAAGCCAATGCGGCGCTCGGCAATCCCATTCTGCTGTGGGGACTCCGGCAGCGTCTAGGACTGTCTGATGCTCTGCTCGTCGCAGAACCTGGCAAGAACGCCGGAGCGAAACTCACCCCCACGGTCGGAGTGGAGACAACGGACACGACTACCACGAGTGCCCTCAGTGGCCAGAAGCCAATGGATTAGCGTAGAAGTCACCTCAGACTTCTTCGCGAGAGGATACATCGTGGTGTGCCTGGAGTAGTCGTCAATGACCACTAGAAAGTAGCGCTCCCTCTCAGGTCACAGCGTAGGGGCAGGGCCCCAAACGTCTAGGAGGAGAGTCTGGAAGGGAGCAGTGGCCGGACGAAGGGAGGAGGAGTGCGGAGTGGCGCGCAGGCGGCCGGCGTCGCAAGGAGTGCTGGGTGGGGCAAGCGAGGGACGGAGCGACGCCGGGAGACCTGTTACAAGACTGTGACTGGCCATGCTGCGGAGGCAGAGGAGCGATAGGTGGCCAAGGCGGTGGTGCCACAAGACAGTGGGGTGGGCAAGGGACCGACAGGAGTAAGACGCAGCAACCTGACCAGACACCACTACCTGACCAGACACAGCAACCGGACTAGACACTGGGACACGAGGGGATGCAATGACCTGAGCGGAGGAAGTAACCGGGGAGCGCTCGGTGTGGAGAACGTAGAGACGAGAGCGGGACTCTCTGGTGAACGTGGCGAGAACAGCACCTGTAGCGGCGTCTGTACAGTCCGCATTCCTCCTACCCCCCACAAAGGTAACGGTGATCCCCCTGTCCTAGAGGTATCCAACACC